GGCAAGGGAAGCTATGGGTTATGATGATGGTGGAATTGGCAGTGCTCGTATAGCTGATGAGTTTCTCTTTGCAGTAGTTCAGACCCGTGTTTTCACTGAAGTAAATGAAAGCAATGTGTTAAACAGCAGTTGAGTGCAGGATCAGCAAGAAGTCAGTGAGGAGGGCCACAAGCTGAAGCACCAGCTTGCGCTGTGTGCACAGAGAGAATGCACGAGGAAATCTTGCCAGCCTCATGCTATCTGGGTGGACTGCCATGCATCCTGGGGTGGGGAGGAAGGAAAGGAGGCATGCTTGGGCAAGCTGCCTGGCTGAGGGACAGAGCAATGCTTCAGGCACTCTGCGGAATGTCCTGCCAGTTATGGTCATGAGTACTGATGAAAACAGATTTGCTTTTGCTCCAGATAAAATGACAATTGGTGGCTTGGCCCATGATGCAAATGATCACAGAACCACAGAACCATTAAGGTTGGAAAAGACCTCTAAGATCACCCAGTCCAACCTCCAGCCCATCCCCACCATGCCCACTGACCATGTCCCTCAGTGCCACATCCACACGGTTCTGGAACACCTCCAGGGACAGTGACTGCACCACCTCCCTGGGCAGCCTGTGCCACTGCAGCACTGCTCTTATGGAGAATAAATCTTTCCTCATAGACAGCCTGAACCTCCCCTGGCACAACCTGAGGCCTTTCCTCTTTGTCCTCTTTGATATCAGTACTGAGCATTGTTTTCTTCTCTATCTGATTTTATCCAAGAAAGGATTGTATCAAACTGTCTAAGGAGGGATCACAATCCTCAGAGATGGGTGAAGTAAAAGAATTCTGGAAGAATTGCGTTTCTCACCCTATCCTGAGCTGGGATCATTCAGAGCACCTGCAGTTAGTGCTATGGAAAGAAAACCGCAGGTCCTCAGTCCAGCAAAGAGGCAGGTGGAGAGAAGGCAAAGCACAGCGAGCTGGGACAGGGGCAGTGGGCAGCTGGGCACACCTGCACATGCAGGGCTGGTGGCCCTGCTGGGGTCTTGTCTCCTCCCCAGCCCTGCCCTGCCATATGCTGGGTGAATCTGCCTAGAGAAGCTTCAGCTGTGGCAGCAGAGCTAATCAGAGCTGACAGTGAGTGTCTGGAGGGAGCAAGAGTTGCTGTAGCATCTGCAGAATTTGGTAGGAAGGGCCTCTGCATGCCGGCACTCCTCTCCCTCCTGTCATTTCTCACCCCTGATACCAATGCCCTCCGCCATGCTGGAGCTGCGAACACTTCTCTGTTGTGCACATAGCCTTCCTGCAAAGGGTGGGGTCACATCACACTCCTTTCCCCACCCCTCATACTTGTTTGTGAGCACGGGACATCAGGGATGGGTTTTCTGAGGCCCATTTATGTACAGCTGGCTGTGAGGATCCTTCCTCAGATGTCTACAGCTGATGTCAGTGTTGTTTCCTACTTTCGACTGGCCTCCTAGTGAGGGTGAGCATGGAGGAGAAAAGGCCTTTCAGAGCCCACACCTGGTACTCATGAATATTTCATGTTTCTAGCTTTTCTTCTCCACGAAGAGCAAAACCTTTTCATATTTGATGCCCTGGGAGCCCTCTTGGTTGCTGAATGTTGCTTCATCAATGCTTTCCCTCCCTGCTTTTCCATTGGACTGCCTGGCCCCTTATTCCTTTCTCTTCTCAAGGAACGTTTCTTTTCTTTTCTTTTCTTTCTTTTTTTTTTTTTTTTTTTTTTTTGTAAGGGTTGTTTCAGAAAAGGTCATTGTCCTTTTCATATTCCCTTCTTGCTGTGAGCCAGCTTGTATTCTGCTCTGCCAATGGTAAAAGAAAAACGGCGATGTGGGGAAGGGCAGCAGTGGGAGAGGGGAAAGCAGGCGGGGAGAGCTGTGTGTGGGTGCTGTGGAGTGGTGGAGAGGCAGAGATGGGATGTATTCACAGCACAGAAAGATAAAGGGGGAGAGGCAGCAGCAGGACTTGGCTGAAAAATTGTGAAGAATTGAGTTTCCAGTGCCTTCTAGAAGCTGTTGCACCGAAAACTCTGATGTCACCATAGATGGGGGCTGTCCAGAACAAGCCCACTGTGGTTGTCCAGGGCAGGATGCTCCCAAAGCTGTGCTGACAAACATGCTGCCGTCCCTGCCTTGCCTTCTGTCAATTTCTATGGCTCTGTGGTTGCTTTGGAGACAGTGTCGTCTCAGGCAGGTTCTCCAATAAATCACCATGTTCCATCCTTAGGCTCCTCAACCTTTCTTTCTCTTTTCCCCACACATTGTGAGTGCTTGAGGGATCAGGAATCATTTGCAGGGACCCTGGTCAGGTTGTACAGACCCCTCCTGCCTGTGGAAGCACTGAGACACCTGGCAATGGGCCTCTTGCTTTGGAGACCCACAGCAGATGACCCTGGATGGCTGCCAGACCAGTGCAGGGCCAAGGGACTCAAAATGGGTTCCCAGAGCAATTGTTTTGTAGTTTAGACCAGGAAGTGAAAACAGTTTTACCCAAAGTGAAGCAATATAAGTTGTCAAAAGGCTGGTGGTCCACAGGAGAGTTACAATTTCTGCTTGGATGGGTGTAGGTTCAGTGTTCTTTCTTCTATCCACAGTCAGTGTTGATGGGCAAGGAAGGATGGCCAAACGAAAACTGGGTTTTGTTTAGATTTAGGAATGGAACCTACTAATGCTGAAATTTTTTGTGATGTGGAAAAGATGCCAAATGCTGGGGTCACCTGCCTGGTAATTGGGCTGTAGACCCAGGAAAGGGTGCATGAGGGCAATGGCTGCGATTCTGGAGCTATGGATAACTCAGTCCTGTATCATCACTAGAATCTCTGAGAGTCAGGAAGAAGAATATATGGTTAGGCAGGATGCTTTCAAGGAAAAAGCATGCAAGTTTTTGCAAGTCATTGACAAACAAAATCAATCTTTGCAAAATCAGCAAATCCTGATACAACTTGTGTTTGTCTGTAAGATCCCCGAGGGATGTCTGCTCTGCATTTCAGCTGAAGGGCAATTTCATTCTTCCCACCGCCTCTGCTCTGAGATGAGATGGAGCTAGCATCAGCTGCTCTGAAAAACATCACTGTCTCTTACAGTGTTACTGGCACAGCTTCCTGTGTTACTTGCCTCTCCCTCATGTACTGACCAGGGCAATTTATGGGAACTGGTGATCTTGTGCTGTGAAGCAGTATTAATGCTGGTAACGTGCTGCACTGCAGTGAGGGTGTGTGGCTATAGAGCTGAAGTGATGCAGAGCGTGTTGCTGCAGAGCATGGGAGGTCATGGGGACAAGCAGCAGAGCACTGTGTCTGTGCTGTTGGGCTTTGTATGGTGACAGATCAGAAAGCCATCAGTGACTCATGACATGTCTGCGATCCCCAGCGAGTGGCTGGACTGCTGATGTTACTGATGTACTGTCTAGAAACTGCTATAGCTGGCAACTGGTGATACAGTTGGGCAGCCAGGCAAGCAGGACTTAGCAGCTGCCCCATAGCCTGGCCTTAGCCATCCCCTGGAGGAACTGACACCATCACTTCTTCTCCTTCATAATCTATCCTTAAACATTTTCTCCTCCCTACACATCATCTCCTTGCAGATATCACTCCTGCCTATCCCATCCACAAACATTCCCCCCTGACCTAAACCAGGCTGAATCCCTTTCAAAGCACCTTTTCTTTCTCCCACCTTATGCCTGCACATACCTCACAGACATCCCTTCCCTTCCCTTCCCTTCCCTTCCCTTCCCTTCCCTTCCCTTCCCTTCCCTTCCCTTCCCTTCCCTTCCCTTCCCTTCCCTTCCCTTCCCTTCCCTTCCCTTCCCTTCCCTTCCCTTCCCTTCCCTTCCCTTCCCTTCCCTTCCCTGTTTGCAACAAGAGCAGCTGGAGAATGGAGACATCCTAATGCACAGCATCATGTGGCTAATTACTTGATGCTGGGCATACAGAGGGGATTAACTTGTGCCTCAAAGGGCTGTCAGTGAAGCCTAATCTTATCTTCCCCTCCTCTTTTCCCTTCCACTGCCATCTGAAGTAATGAACTGGTTATAAATACCTAATTAGCTAATTATTGGCTGGCCTACATGAAACATCTTCAGTGAAGGAACTCCCTGGCAACCCCTCTGTGGTGGAGAGCAGAGACAACTGCAGGGGTGAAGGTGGTACGGTGATGCTTGGAAGGATTTCTAGGCTTTTATCATCCCTGGAGAGCAGCGGAAAAGTCATTAGCACCATGGAGAAACAAGTCTGTCTCACCCCTACTTCTGGCTGTATGAACTGAAGAGAGCCGGGGAAGAAGTAAAACCAAAGAAAGAATTCATCAGGTGATTTAACAAAAGGAAAAAGGGGATGATTTTAGAAACATTTGCACTGGCCAGAGGTGGTGTGCTGGCAGACTGTGAGCTGTGCTACTGCCTGTATGCATCAGCCCTGCTTGGGAAGGATGGTTAGCCAAGAGAGGAGAGCGTTTGATGAGAGTGCCACTGAGAAGACCAATTTATTCCAGTCTGCGTGTGCTGTAGAGGTCCATCTCACTGGGCAGGCTGGCCTTGGGCCAGCACAATTCTCACAGGTTACACAATGCAGGCATCACACTCTGACGTGAAGCCATCTGAGAATGGGGTCACTGAGCTGCTGTCCACATTTGGGACAGTGTTTTCACTCCATTGCCTTTCTGCAGAGAAAGGGGGAGGGGGAAATATCAATTATGTGGCTGATGATGCTGAATGTCTCATTCCCTTTTCTTCTCAGTGTTGCAGATGGAGGCCTAGGGTTAAGAGATCACGGCATCTCAGCAGCTCTGCTGGCTGCCTGTCAGCAGGAGTTTGGACAAGAAAGGGCAATGATCATAAATCTAGCCCAACTTGGGCAGTAATTAATTTCCAACACTCTGCTTTTGTATTTACGTAGCTTTTTTTTTTTTTTGTCTTCTAAATTTTTCCTTGCTTCCCTACTCTTTCCTTCCTCTTCTCCCTCTCCCTCCGCCCTACACTTGCTCCTTCTGGTTCTCTTCCACCCGCAGGCATGCGCATCCTTGTGAATTTGCTCCTGGACACCTTGCCCATGCTGGGGAACGTCCTCCTGCTCTGCTTCTTTGTCTTCTTCATCTTCGGCATCATCGGGGTGCAGCTGTGGGCTGGGCTGCTCCGCAACCGCTGCTTCATGGAGGAGAACTTCACAATGTGAGTGCCTGAGAGATGATGTTCCCTTTTTTTCTCCCAAAAGTGTTTCTCTTTCTTCTTCCCTTCTCTCTCTGCTTCTGCTGTCTGGCTCTCTGCAAACTGCTTGCTCCAAACAGATAGAGGGTGGTACGGTGCAGAACACTGGCCGTGTCTTGCAGTGTGATTGGAGAGGAAGGGAGGGCAGAAGCATCTGTTTTTAGTTCATCTTCACAGTGCATAGACGCCTTGGCACACTGGGATTTGGCTAGGCAATAGTCAACAAAATTGCATCCTCCAGCCATGAAGAGACATGCTCTTTATCCCAGAAATAGCTGATATTCAGGAACACAAGCCGTGCTGTCCTTCTCTTCATAAGACAAACAGTCTTACAGAAAACTGTACTGCTGTCCATTGCCTCCAGGGACACCTTTGGCACCTCTGGGTTTGGAGCTGAAGTCACTGTCTGGATGTAGTGCTTCACCTCCAGATGCTCTGGAGGGAGGTGGGGGAAATTACTGAAAAAGCAGCAGACTTCCCTTTGGGAAGAGCCATGGGAGAGGATGGAAATCTGCTGGGAGAGGTATCCCTCAGCAGAGCACAGCTCCTCCTGTTGACTTGCAGGCTTTAAAATGTTTTCTTAAAACCACATTCTAATTCCAGACTCTTGATCATTTTAGACTGCTTTAAAAAAACTGTAGATCAGTTTAAACTGATTAAATAGTTCTGAAGCTTTAGACCATCTCAAACTGGGGAAAAAAATTCAGTGCAAAAACATGATCTGTGGAACAGCAATGGGGTTGGGGAGTAGGAGCTGCTTAAAGCAGCTGTTTGCAGTGTTTATATATTCCTTTGGGAGAAAGGGATGTTTAGGATGATTGGCCTTTATGTAAATCAGAGTGGTACCACTTTAATGAGTGTAATTAAATCCAAGCAGCATCGATGTAACTGAGAAGTGGATTGGAGCTACGGGCTGCAAAGTGACAGATACTGAATAATCTTTGGCTGACCATTACTAGAGTAACAAAGTCTGCAGGCAGCAGTTCACGAGTGACATGGATGTGTAATGACAGAAGTTTGTCGTTTAGTCCCAGTTAGCTCAGAATGGGAGGCCTCTTCTCTTTTCTTTGTCATCAACACCTGTCCCCTTCCAATGACATGTAGTGAAAAAGCCTGCATTCATGCAGTGTGAAGGCTGCGTATTGTACCACTGCAAGGAATGCAAGTGCACCAGATAGAGTTTAATGGAAAAATTTAAATCTTCATCTTTCATATCCTCATCGTTATCTCATTTACAGCTAGGCAAGCATAGATGATTTTAATTATTCAAGCATTTGGAAGGTGCCTGCATTATTTGGAAAAAAACACGTGAACTTGTCATTAAACATTATACCAATAATGCCAACTGTCAAGGAGGAGTCAAAGTTAAGGTTAAGTCAACTTCAGCTCTGCAATTCCTGATTTTAAGGCATAGCTGTGCAACCTTAATTATGCGTGAACTGGATTTTTTATTTAATTTTGCTGGAAATACAGAAGGTTCAGAGCCAAATGTTATAAAACATGTCCGTCAGTGGTTACATACACAAGCACATTATGTTAAAGCCTGATGAACGTCCTTAATATCATTGCATCTGATTTAGCTTTGACGCTAATGGGGAGAGTGATCAGAATGCAAATGCCTGCATTTCAACTTCTCCTCATCTCCATGCAAGCAGATTTTGTAATTTGGGGTGGGGTGGTCTTGTGGAGGACAGAGCTCTGAAAATGGAGGACTCACCCCTGAAAAACCCCTGGTTTCCAGGAGCTCTGTCCTTCTCTTTTCTTGAGGAGATAAACCTGGAAGCCCTTTACTCGCTACTGTTCCTATGTCAGAATCGCAGCTCCCAGCTCCACCAATATCACTGGTGAGAAAATATCTGCTACTTTTTTTTAATCTTTACAGACAAGGTGACGTTGTCCTGCCCCCATATTATCAGCCTGAGGAAGATGATGAGATGCCCTTTATCTGCTCACTGTCAGGAGACAATGGAATCATGGGTTGTCATGAGATCCCACCCCTGAAGGAACGGGGCCACGAGTGTTGTCTGGACAAAGATGATTATTATTACTACAACTCAGTCCGGCAAGAGTTCAACGTCAGTGGCATGTGTGTCAACTGGAACCAGTACTATAACGTGTGCCGTACAGGCAATGCCAATCCGCACAAGGGTGCCATCAACTTTGACAACATTGGGTATGCCTGGATTGTGATATTTCAGGTAAGACCTTCCTAACAAAGCTCAAGCTATTTTTTTTTTACAGCCCAGTCTTTCTTTGTTCCCATGATGGTTTCTACAGGGTGTGATGCAGCTGCAGAGAGAAAGGGACATTGCAACTATTTTGGCAAGTGAGAACAAGTGCTCATCACAAAGTGTTCCTGAAGACAGGTAGGGATGTAGTGCCAGTTCCAGGCACTGAAATGGGCTATGCCTTTCAGGCTGACATGTACCTGTTTTCAGTACAGATCACTATAGCAAAGGAGTCTTCTTTTTTTTTTTTTTTTTTTTTTTTTTTTTTTTTTTTTTAAATTACCAGCGCTCATTGCAGATGGGAGCTAAAATCCTTGCCTTTTTTCTTTTCCACCTGCTGTACGCAGTGTCCAGTACAAGGGACACAAAAAGTTGCTGTGGGTTTTCCCCTGCTGTGATCCAGGGAAATGAACTATTTTAATGAAATATTCCTGCTGTGGATTAGCATGATCTCACAGGCTTTGACAGTATGCCAGTGTCACCAAGCAGTACCACGCTGATTTCCTGGAATGGAAATTTGGCCTCCTTGAAAGGACTTTTTGTTTCTCACCTTCCTTGGAATACAACAGCCTTGCCAGTATCTGCCTGTGTATACTGAGAAATGAACTCTGGATGCCCATTTCCCTCCTGAATCTCTTTTTGTTTCTTGATTTTGCAGGTGATCACACTGGAAGGGTGGGTGGAGATCATGTACTATGTGATGGATGCCCATTCATTCTACAATTTTATCTACTTTATCTTGCTGATAATTGTAAGTATAAGACTTGCTGTGTCTCAGCATTGCAAGCTAAGAGCCTACAAAAGTTAGGCATTAGGTCAACACAGATACTGGCTATCTGGATTTCTTCTTGGAACCTCAGGAATCCAGCTGGAGGTTTCTCACCAAGATTCTATGGCAGGATCATGTACTTGTGACCCAGGTTCTTCTTATTCACTCAAATAAATATGTTCCGGATTGAAAATCAATACCAATGTAGGATAATGTGTTCATCCACACATCTCCTCTCAAAACAGTAAACCCAAAAGTAGAGAAAACCATTTCTTCATCTTTATTCCTATTTTTTCTTTTGTGCATTTGAAGCTCTTGAGTCGTTCCTGTTTTATGGCTTCTTGCAGCACCTGGATTCTTCAGATTCAGGGTCTTAAATTCAGTTTTTGTCAGATTTTGGGTCTGTCATGCTGAATTACTTCCTCACTATGAACAAGAAGGAGCTGCTGCTCCCAAAGTGACATCAGTCCAACATAAACTAGCTGTGTGAAATCATTTGTGGTTGGTGGAGACGGAAGGAGAGCGGTGTATCAGTGATGAGAACTTCATAAGCAGTTTGTGAGCACTGTGGATTTATACATGTGAAGGGTGAAGGTGGCTGTTTTATTGTAAGGAGATTTGTTGTTTGTGCACGGAAGGAGAGCTGACAAACACGATGCCATTGCCTTTTCCTTTCCTTAGGCCTCTTCCCATGTGTAAATAGATTTCCTTGGGAGGAACGCCATGTTTCTAACAAGGAAGAATTTCCTGTATTTATGAAGACTTGCACTTTACACTTTCAATTTTCCTATATGGGGACCAAAGTCAAAAGTAGAAAGGAAGATCTCAGGATGTATTGTGGAAAGTTTAAAATGTACATAGTAGATGCAATTCAGTTCTAGGTCACTTCACCAGTAAAGACTTCAGTGTGCATCTCCAAAGCCTACATGCTCTTGGACGGACTGCTGAATGGACCTGGCTTAGATTCTCTCTTCATCTACTATTTGTTCTACATAGTCATGATCTCCTAGAAGCAGATCTTTAGAAGCAGTTGCCCAATAACATTAACAGACTTATGTGGCATAGGATCTAGTTTAAATTCAGACTGTTGTGTCATTATTTAAGAGCAAACAAACCTTAATAGTTTCTGGGAGAAATTCTGTAGACTGTATGTATGGGGAGTGGCACAAGAAGAAATCTGCTGGTCCACTGAGGTTGAAGGCCTTACAAAAAAGCTGAATCTTCATGGTATCCCCTGTTTCTCCCCACCTCCTGGTCTTCTACTATCACAAGGAAAAGACAAGAGAAAAACAGAAAGGTCACCTGTTCCCTTGGATTGAAGCATGAGCCCAGGACAGCAAAGGTGAAATGTGCCTTGAAGAATGCTGCTTTTACTTTGAGTCTGGAGAGTCCCAGTGAGGACAATCTAGAAACATGATTGTACAGGATGGGTGGGGAGCTCTCTCCAGCTCTATTCCCAGAGCCAAACCAAACATCCACTGCTTTTTGTGAATCCAGAAAACAATTATTTCCCTCATAGTTTCTTCAGATCTCCAACTACACAACTAATATGTAGGACCTACTTTATTTCTTTTTTTGCTTTGAGCAGCATGGCCAGGATACCTGTATTTCTGTAACATGTAGTTCAACGCAGAATTCACTCCCAGCCTCACGTGCCATCTCTCCCAGAGCCGGTGTTTGACCTTTGAGATGGGCACATCCATCTCCTGATGGCCAGTTTCAAAAACTGCGCCCTCTGGCCTCACCTCCAAATTACGTAAATTCTGATGGCATATTTTTGGATTGGAAAGAGGAGCATCCTTTAGTGTTGGCTCACCTCATGTGTATTTCCAGTGACTCAAACTTTGTCTCTGAATTTGCAGGCAGCTGAAAACCCTCAATTAAACACTCCACCTGAGATTTTACTGTGGAGTGTCATTGACGTTTCTAGACACGCCCTCCTCATTTGCAGAAGCCATGTATGTTTATTTCCATCGAACACAAGAGCACAAGAATCTCAGCTTCTCTGGGGACCACTCAGAACATAGGAGCTTTATGCTAGGTAGGATATTTCCTTCGTCTTTGGTGGAGTTACACCAAGAAAAGATTTAGCATTTCTGTTACTTTTATTTCACATGTAATGCCATGTTTCCCATATGCTGTTGCAGCACTTAGCAAAACCGCAATGTGAACTTGCTATCTCCTGGTGTCATTTCTCCTCCAAGCTGTCTTATAGCAATGACATTCCCTCTTCAAGTCTTCTGAAGCACAGTCCTTGTGGCCTTCATCCTGCCCTCCTTCTCCACAGCTGAAAGGCCTTGCTCTCTAAACAGGATTGCTCTGGCAGCCATAGTTCAAATCTTGACTCTTTGCTTTTCCACATACAGCTTAGCCTTGGTTCAAACTCATTCTTCTGGGGCCAGATCTCCTCAGCCTCCTCCTTAGAGCTATACTTTCATTGGTGACTTCTGCCTTCCTCACAGATACACCTTCTAACATCTTGCATAAGGGCACTACCTGTTAAGCACATCAGGCAGGAAGAAAGCTCCACCACCTGGGTATATTCACATCATTTTCTAGGACTCCTGCATTGATGTAGTGCCTGAAGAGAAGAGCACCAGCTGACCCTGGCACTCAGAAGAGCCTGCAGAACAATCTGGTAAATATATTTGTGTATTCAGGAAATAGCTTCCTGGTCTTGGGAGGTGACATCAAGGAAGGCTTACTTTCCCTTCTTGCGTCAATTATCCATTTCAGTCTTCATCCTTGAAGACCAGCGTTCTGTGTGTCACTGCTCCATTACTTGCCCACTAGCATTGCTTCTGAACTACAGGCTCTCCTTCTTTAGGTTCACATCCACATAGCGGTACTCAGGCCTCCTAGAAGTGCTTACATGTGTGGGCTTCAGAAGACAACCTGATTATTCAGCAATAAGCAATAAAAATAATGGGCAAGTAAGTTAGCATCTCTAGCACCAGTCAATTCTTATTAAATACTGCAGAGACAGGGATCAAGCCTTGGGCTGAACAAAGCCAAGATCAGCTCAATCAGCGTAGGACTTGGTGTCAGGGCTGAACCAGATGACTGCGTGGGGCTTTGAATCAATGGTCTCCTGGTACTGTCAGACACTTTGTCTGACTCCATGTTGGACACTAGTGATCTCTTTGCTCAGCTAGCTGAGATGGATCACTCAATTACAATCCATCTGGGACCCTTCCTGCCCTTCTGCTAAATTGGAGGCAGAGTCAAACTCAGCAGAACATTAGAGTTTGTGGACTTGCTTGTCATCTTAAGGATGAAGCAAGCTCTATTGCTTTGTGTCTGATGTTTCTTGCTAAGAGGTTCAAGGAATGGGGGCTCATTGCCATAACCAGTCCTCCCACTCCTCCCCTTTCCTGTTATCAGTGGGAGATCACAGTAAACAGTTCCTGAGAGGACAGGGCTTGGTGATATAAATCTGAACCCCTCTCAGGATTCGACCTCAGGCTTACATCATGATCCTGCTGAGGTCATCTTGTTGCACTTGGCTTCTCTGCTTGTCACCTAGAGAGAAGGTGTTGCAAACTTTAATTGGCTGTTTTTTTTTCTGGAGGTGCTGGAAGATGCAAAGAAGATGCAAAATTGTGACCAGGAGTGTCACAATTTGCATTTCAGAACTGCACAGTGAGCATCCAACTCCCAAACCAATCCTACTTCACTCAGAGCAAGCCCGAGGAGATAACAGAAGAGAGAAGCCTGTGAGAGGGTCATGTAATGCTGAGAGAGAAGAGGGCAGAAGAGCACAATGGAGGAGGATTCACATTCCCAGTTATACCCTCATCAGTGAAAACATGCAAGAGATCATGGACTACAGGAATCCATGGGGGAAAGAGAAGGGATCAGAATGAGGCATTGTTTTCCTTTTCAAGGCCATGTTCTGAAGCTGAAGGGAAAATAAGCTTCATCACTGAGAAGGGCTCAGTGATGAAGGGGAACAGAATTGGAACAGCTTTGAAAAGTGTTGAGAGGAGAAGAATAAAAAAAAGACCATTATTTTGAAATGATCTATCGTCCTTATTCTGAATCTGGTTGTAAGGGCTTCATGTTTGAAAGGTTTATTCAGATACTAGCAGAGATGTCTCCTCTTTGAAATACAAAGAGCCAAGGTATTGAGCCTCTGGCTGACGCTGCTGGGCACCTGTGTGCAAGAGAAAAAGATGTCCAGAGGCACAAGGTTTGTGGGTAGGCTGGCAAAGGCTATAAACTGAGGGGAAGGCTTCTTGGGTTGGTAAAATTTGCTGGGATGATTTCAGGAAAAAAATAAAACATACCGCTTTTTCCATGCTTCAGAGTTGGGATCTTTGTGTCACCCAACTTTCTTGTCCTCTCCCCCCCACTGGAAGGGTTGTATGAAGGAGGGCACATGTCAAAAGATAGAGGCAGGACTGGGTCCAGCTCTGAGTCCGAGCTGTCTGCTTGAAAAGGAGAGACATTGAGATGAAGTTGGGTCCTGGGCAAGTCATACAGGAGAAGCACAGTGCAAAGACACACCTTAGAAAAGAAACCCGCTGATCCAGAGAATGCAGAAATCCCAAGGTGGAGCTGCCTCTCCTCCTAGGAGCTGCCCCACAAAACCCGTATCAGAGCAATGCAGGTGTGTGATCTTTGTTCAGAAATCACACTCTACATTTTCTTGATGCCATACTGCTGCTTACAGCTCTGCGGGGAGTGGCCACCAGTCACAGCATCATCGCATTTGAGTGCAGTGGAAAGATTTCCTAGTGGAGATTAATCTGTAATTTCATAATACACAACACAGAGAGAGAGATATTCACTTCCAGATCTCTCAGCACCAAGAACTGTCTCAGTTTTTCAGATAGGAAAAGTGAGGCAAAGAAAGCTAATGGCGAACTTGCCAGTGTATAAAATAAGCCTGGTAGACTTTTGGCTTTCATGGAGAGAACAAGATCTTGGGCTTTTTATTTCTGAGAAACTGGGGAGTGGGCTGTGGTTGTTTTTGTACATTAAATGGAAAACTGACAAAGGCTGGAAGACAAGTAAAATAATAGAAAATACATGCCTGATAACAGAAGAGTCAGAAGAATAGAAATCGAGGAAGGAAGTATTGTTTTGACAGATTGTTTGGCGTCCTTCTCAAAATCATTAGTTTTTGCAAACTTCTCTGGTTTCAAGAGCTAATTCATTTCAGCAAAGTTAATCTCCCTGTATAGTGAATTAAGGTGTAAATGATAGAAATAAATAAAATTCCCTGAGAACACTGACGTGTCTTCCAAGAGCTCAAAGCAATAAGATAACACATGATTTTTCCAGTAGTAAAAAAGTAAGCAGAGGAGAAAGTAAACCAATACAATCCTCCATCTCCCACCTTCTGTTTAACACAAAGGAGAGGGAAAGAAAAAGCCCAATTTTCATCAGATGCATAGATAAGTTCTAAGCGACTTGCGAAAGTTCCTAAAGCCCATCAAAAGAGCCAAAAATTGGGCTTCTGTTTGCTGAATTTCAGTTCAGAGGTCTAAATTCTGCATGGAGGTGACACTGAGGGAGCACACAAGACCAAGCTCAGCCAGTCCTGGCTCCCTCAGAAATCCCATCTCTATAACAGACTGGTGTTAGCTCTTGTTCTTGTTCTCCTTCCTCACCTCTCTCTTCTTTCCTCCTCCTACATGTTCTTCTTCACACCAATGTTACCTGTCCCTCTTTCTCCATTGCTCCTAGGTGGGCTCCTTCTTCATGATCAATCTGTGCCTGGTGGTCATCGCCACACAGTTCTCAGAAACAAAGCAGAGGGAGCACCAGCTTATGCAGGAGCAGCGGGCCCGATACCTCTCCTCCAGCACCGTTGCCAGCTACATGGAGCCCGGAGACTGCTACGAGGAGATCTTCCAGTACGTCTGCCACATCATGCGCAAAGCTAAACGCCGCACCCTTGGGCTGTACAACAGCATACAGAGCCGGCGCCAGGGCCACACGGAGCCGAGTGATGCCCAGCGAGGTGCCAACAGGAAAAAACAGAGGCACTACAGTAAGGATTGCACGGGTAAATCTGAAAATGTCTATAGTGGAAATGGGTGCGTAACAGGGAGCATCTCCATGTGCTGTATTTCCAAAGGACTTTGGTCTACAAAGCATAGAGTTAGAATTAATACTGATAATTGAGCTTGTGGTCATGGGTAGTGCACCAGACTGGTAAGGTAGGAGTGACCAGTAAGAGTGGGAATGGAAACAGAGATGATCAATCAAAAATGCTGGAAACCCAGACCTGAAACCATAACAGACAACATTAAAGGCACTGACTGAGGCTTGGAAAAGGCTCCAGGTTTGGTAGGGCAGCAGAATGATTGCAGCCGGGGAGAGAGATGTATTAGGGGAGTACGAAGGAGTGTGACTAAGGATTGTACTGAGTCACACAGCATGTCTCCCAGAGTTCTCCTCCAAAAGTGAGTTTACAGAAAAGAAGTAAAGGGAGTAGAATTGCAATAGTGTCCCCTGAGCCAAGGGAGAAGAGCATTACTGAAGTCATTTTGATGTGCTAGGGCAATGGGGACAATTTCTCTTGATGGGAGCACATCCTGTTGTGTAAAATTAGACATGAGATACCATTTAAATTGGATTCCTGGCCTGAAAAGTGACTGTAAAAATGGTATTATAGAGTTAGTATTAACTGCCTGCTGATACGTATCGTAAGAAATTCTCTCAGTTAACAAGCGAAAAGATGGATTTTCCTTCAACTAGTCTTGCATGCTCAGTCTTTCATTTTCTTTACTTGCTAGGAAGAAGGTTTCTGCAGTTAATGAATTAATTGATTAATCCCTCCAGTGTCTGTTTGATCGTCCAGGCACAACTGGAGGTTTGAGGAACTTGGCTTTCTCACTGAAGTCAGCAAATTGTTCTCATTCAGAGTGCACTGACTATCAGGAGGAACTGTTCTCATATTAGTTTTTCTGGCTTCTTGAGATACTTTGCTAATGTAGTGTCCCTCACTTAGAGAGTTGAGTTCAGCATCTGGATTCTTGGACCCCACTTGCATCTGTTTAGGTCAATTTCAGCCCTCTTGATCATTTTTCCCTCAGTTCCCACTTAATTCAAATGTCTAAATCTCAAGCTATGATTTCTGCATCAGACAAAACAGTTCTTCCTCATGAACCCCCACTGAGCCTAATCACTGGCAGATGAGCAGTACCATGCCTTCTGGTGACAAAGCCAGTCAGTGGAAAGCACCCAGCGGCAGTGGCTTTTATTGCTGCCCTTGAGATGATTTGCCAGTGTTTAGTCATCCTTACAGCTAAAAAAGCCCAGTTACAGAGTGTAAATAACTAGAAGCCAAAAAACTACCCAGCTTGGATGCATTTTTTTGGAGGGAACAAAGCTTTCTCCTTTAAGTGCAATCATTTATCTCCACAGGAATTTGCCAACAGCACAACCCTCTTGACTGCCCTCCTCAAGGCTTGGTCCAGCCCATTGCTGTGACAGCAACCTCTGATCTCACCAACTGCCCCCGATGCCATAGGGGGGAACATGACACATCCCGAAGGCTGTCTGTCCTGGACAGTGCTGACTCAGACCAGGAAGATGGAGGAGACAGTGAAGCGGAGGGAGAAGGCTGCAGAGATAACCAGAGTGCCTCAGCGCTGGAGAAAGAGGAAGAAGAGGTGGAGGAAGGTGGGAGGATGAAGCTCTGTAACGACATGTGGCGGGAAGTTAGGTTGAAGCTTAGAGGGATCGTGGACAGCAAGTACTTCAACCGTGGGATCATGATCGCGATCCTTGTGAACACTATCAGCATGGGCATCGAGCACCACGAGCAGGTAGGTTGTGCAGAAAGGACACTGGGGGACAGAGGGTCACGCTTGGGTTTAAGGTCTGGCCAAGCAGCAGCAAAATCTGCTAGAGGCAGAGACTGAGTAATTTGTACCCCAGGTCATAGCAGGATCTTTTCCTGCCTATCCCTGCACGTAATCACTTTCACTGTCTCCAAGTATTTTTTTCCCAGTTTCTTTCAGTCTCTCTTTTTTTTTCCTCCTCCCTTCTCACTTTTATCCCTCTGTTTTTCTTTTTCTCTCTGTCTTTTCTCTCCATCTGCTTCTCTCCTTCACCCTCGCCTCTTCTATCTTCCTCATCTCTCTCTCTCATTTCTCTCTTCATTAGCTTACTGAATCCTTAGTCTATTTGGTTAATTTAATGTGCTCTCTCGGGATGTCAAGGCACTTCACCAGCATCTCAATTCAAATCCATCAGCTTGCTAGCCTTTCCAGCTTAATTAAGGGATGCCTGAGCGCCGTCTAACTGCACAAGAAGGCACCACCTCCTGCCTCCAGTCATTTTGGGGGCTCATATGGCTTGAGCCTTTCCTTTACTCTGACAACAAGAAGTGATAGATAAGTCAAGGCATAGATAGCATGTGTGATGACAGTCCTGCTTTTCATGCCAATAGTTTGCAGGCATCTCTGAGTCAGCAGTGCGCTTTATCGTAACAACAGATTTGTGAGATGGAGAAGGATGGTGTGCCCTCATTTTATAGCTAGGAAACATAAGCTGTGTCTATACTGCAATGTACAGAGCAGGCTTGAGAGGGTGTTCAGCGTACCCATGGCCTTGCATCTGCACTGCTGGCTGATAGTTCTATTGCACGTTGAGTTAAAGGACAGATGTACATCTGTGCCTCAAATCTGTGCTGTTGGTCTAAATGTGGCCATGATTGACCCCAGTTGTCTGCCAAGATCACAAGAAATAAGAGATTGGCCCACAGCAGAGATGCTAACTGCATCAGGGAATTTTGCAGCCAAAGCAAATTTTAGCCACAAATACAATCTCAGGAAGCAAAGAAACAGACAGTGAGAGTAGTTTAAGCAGGCACTTAGACTTGCCCTGTGCTCTATCAGGGTGGAGATATCATAGAATCATAGAATCATAAAGGTTGGAAAAGACCTCTAAGATCATCTAGTTCAATATTCTGAGCCTCAGAGTATGTGAATTTCCCTGTTTGAGGCAACACAGTGGCTGAACCAGTATTTGAAGCCTCAGATGCCTGGATCCCACCCACACTGCAAGCATTTTACAAAGCCCAGCTGATTTCTGATACAAGGATGGGAAACCTTAATTTGATCACAGAATGCAAAACTGCTCGGGATGCTCCAGTACAGAAAAATACTGCTGGAAGCTCAGAGAAGGGGGAATGAAGAAGAGACTGGAGAGGTTGAATCATGAAAACAGATAAAAAAGAGCGATGTATTTATCATGTAGCAGAGAGATGACTAAGGGTTGAGGCCTAGAACAACGTGAAAACTGCCCGCTGATGTTTTGAAGATGCAGGCACCAAGCAGAGAGAGGCACTGTTCATTTGGCGTTATTGGAGACAGCATGATTTAAGAGTTTAGCTGAAGAATATTTGAACCGGAGGTAGAGAATTCACTCTGACTATTGTGTGTGCGGATTTAAGCTCTTCTGGGCCACCTCTGCTGTGTTTGTACAGCCCTCGGCAGAGCAGGATCTGCCTGCAGCCTCAGGGTTTCTGGTAGCAGGTTATTAATGACACGTCCTTAAAGTTATGCTATCACTTTTTATCTAGTAGTATCTAGGAAGAGCTCACGGCCCTATGGGCTGCTTCTAGTATTAAAAAAAAAGTTGACTGTATTGATCATAACTGAAAAATGTGGTGCAGCTGTTTATTTAAAATGTGTGCATTGAGTTCTGTTTATCTAGCACAAGATTCTTTTAATAAGAATATTTAGTTCCTGACATGAATTCCAGGTCTTTTTCTGTCAGAAGTTACCTCAAAACCACATAAGCATGTAAACACTTCCCTTTGCTCTTCCATGTTTCTCAAGCCCTGCTGTTGATATATCTCAATCTGATGCTTCACTGCCTCCTTTTCTCCTTCCTTCCGTTCTGTTTTTCCTCTCGCTTTCTTTCTAGAAAAATATATTTTCACAGAAAAATATTCAGCAAAACTCCTCTGCTTATAGAGATCTGTGATTTGCAGCTTGTCACCATCCCATGACTGAAGTGGTTTTTGTTGCTTCAGCTACTTCATCATGTGAATCTCCCCCAGATGAGAGCTAATGGAAATAAAGACCCTTCAAGCTTAGATTTTCTGGTGCACGAGAGATCACAGTCCCAGACACTTGCTAGGGACACACCTGTCTGGAAAAGAGGATGTGTGGAAGTATTGCAGGTTTGAGTGGTCTGGTTCATCAGCTGTGTGTTGCTCTGGTTGTTCATGGACTATACAGAGATGAAGAACATCCTTCCAATACTTGAAAGGAGCTCATCAGCAAGGGGGGACCAACTTCTTGGACTTCTTGAATGGGCAGATAGTGATAGGACAAGGGGGAATGGCTTTAAACTAAAAGAGGGAGATTTAGGTCAGATGTTAGGAAGAAATGCTCTACTCAGAGGGTGGTGAGGCACTGGCACAGGCTGCCCAGAGAGCTGTGGGTGCCCCATCCCTGGAGGTTCAGGGCCAGGTTGGATGGGGCTCTGGGTAGCCTGAGTTGGGGGTGGCAGCCCTGCCCACAGCATGAAGTGGGACTGGGTGAACACTGAGGTCCCTTCCATCCCAATGATTACATGATTCTGTGATTCTGTAACTCACAAACCACCAGGTTAACGGGGGAGACTGCAGGAGCTGGGCAGAGGGGTCAGGATCAGAAACACAGGTGTCTTGAGGACTGAGCCAATGTGCACGTCTAACTTTTGATTCCTGAGCCTTGACCAGCGGAAAGAAGAATATCAATTGGAATTATCTGTTTGTTTTGAGTGAGGGACATTTGAACCAGACAGCCTCTGGAAGTGTCTTGCAGCTTCCACCATCCTGCAATTCTGTTACAGTTCATATATATATTTACAGGGTGCTTTTACTGTGTTTTGGCTTGGTTTGGTGTTTGTTTCTGTTTGTTTTGTTCTGTTTCTTTGTTTTTGCCAGGAAACTTAACCTCAGCATCCAAATCACCTTAAAATTTGGCTCATCCATCAAGTCTTTTTCTGTCATTCTGCTTGTGTGGCCAAAGCCACCTTCCTATCTCCGTATACATTTCTTGTGAGGGAAATAAATTATTTTGGGACAAACTTCATTGCTATGACTCATTCTTAATCCTTAAGCTTATCACAAGTTATCACTTGTAAACAGATTAGTTTATACAAATCCATCAGTGTGCATTATAACATACAATACACTTAGTATTAGGTCTTCAGATATTGCTGTGACATGGCACAGGCAAAAATCCATCATTTCAAGCTTAGTCCTGCTTGAAATATTTTTTGCAGTTCTTCAGATCTGCTTCTGCTTGGAAGAATTGCTTTTTAAAATCCAGTGTAGAAAATCAAGACATTAGATGCTTGTGACTGTCCAGAAGGATCCTTTAAATAGCCTTAATTTTTGTTGGTATTCGCAGAGGATCTGGTGCTGCTCACTTTTCTCCTTATTCAGCACAAGGATGAAAGGCTGTTCCCAGCTGAATGTCTCAGGCTCCTCTCTCCTATATTTCTTTGAGCCTGTTGGACTTGCACATCTGTGCCATTAGTAGCCATTAAGACAATTACAGAGAAACTTGATTTCCCTCCTGTTGTGTCAACTTTCAGTATTCCTTTGTGCATCAGAGCAATACTTTATGAGGTGCAGATCAGGAAACTATCACTTGTTTCCCAGTTAAACCAGCCTCACGTACTGGCACCTTCATATCTTGTAGCCTGCCTGATTTCCCTTTATACCAGCATTTATTGGATCCACTACTTCATATTTTACACTTATTGCTTCTCCTTTTGCTATTTGCTGCTTGTCAGAAACATTCAGCAAGTGTCCAAGCCAGCTCATCATGCTGACATTTAGTAAATGATGGAACAGTCTCTCCAGGGTGCTGGATGAAGCCACATCACTTCAGTCTTGTAAAACTAGGGAATAACAAAATATTATGAAATCCTATCTGTTTGCGGGGTGGTGATAGAGAAAGTAAAAGCTAGACGGTACGTTTCATAGCTGATTTCTGTGACTCTTCTGATTGTCAAAAATGGACAGAATGAGGAAACCTGTGTAAGTATTTTTCTCTCTCATGTTCTCAAAAGCTGTGACGTGCAGGTGGAGTTTGGTAGGGCTGGTTTACATAGATCACATCAATTACTCTTTTGTTTTTAGGACAGTTGCCAATTTATTCCTGGTTAGAATAAACTCTTGCAGGGTGGTCTGCATGTTCTCAGCCTTTCCGATAGTGTACACCTTTCTGGCTGCTATCAGATAATGACATTTTTCTCCTGTTTTTTTTTTCTGTCTACTTGCCCTCTTCATCAAGTTCACATTTCTCTGGCCAGAGCCTCCCACTTCAGCGGCATCCACTGTCATTTTTGACCATGCTGACCTATATGTGAAAGCATACCTGGGCAGAACATGGCCCCTGCCCTGCCAGCTGCAGCCCCAGCTCCTAGCTGATGGCTTTTTCACTCTGCCTGTTTATCTGTATCTCTAGAAATGGCTGCAGTGCAGGATCTGCCTGTCACTTGTGCATGTGTTGCCTTGTGCCTCTCCAGCTGGCTCTTCTCTCTTTTTCCCTTCTTTTTCCTGAGTGACTTTCTTTTGTGTTGCTCTTTCCTCCCTAGCCAGTATTTCTTTCCTACTTCGTTTTTAACAGTGTCTTCTTTACTTCTTTTTGGAGCCCATTATGCTATTTTTTTTCCTTCTCGTTTTATAGTTTCTTTTTGCTGCCTGTGTCTCTCTTTCCTTTCTTTCCCTGCCCTGTTCTTCCTGCCCCTCTATCTAGGAAGGTTGCTTTTCTGGGTCTGATTGATAGCCCATTAGAAGAAAGATTAACAGGTGGAGGCTTGACTAGAGAAACAGATGTCAGGGAGGGAAGGAGAGACGGGAGAACAGGTGACCTTTTCCGTAAGTGAGATGCAAGCATGGCTTTTCAAACATCAATTGCTCCCTACGACAGCACAGGAGAGAAAGCATGGACAGCAGAGAAGGATAATCCACCATTATAGCCTGTTGCTTTTTCACATTCCTCATTCTCACCGACATAATCAGGCTGAAATTGGCATCTCTGCTTAGCATATGGGCCTCATGTTCCCAGCTGGTATCATTACTGCCTGGCTCTCAGTAAAGTGATCTTCATCTCTCCCTTCCCTTGTGCACTTGTTCATTCTTCCTCTCTCATCATTCTTATCTCCCCTCCTCTCTTCTACATTTTCATGATGGTTTTGTTATTCAAATGTAATTATGGGTATAAATTGAGCTATCTTCTTCTTCTTTTTTTTTTTTTTTTAAAGAAATGGAATATTTCAATTAAACCTGCACTGAAGACTGCATGAAATTACCAATGGACGCAGGGTAGACACAACATCATTGTGAGAAGGACTTTCCAATCTATTTATTCATATGGGAGAAGAACAGGCAGATTTAGGGTTCTGGGGGATCCTCCCTGAGCAATCTCCAGATTTAGGGGGAGGTTCAGACCCAAAACCAGAAGGTGATGATTAAAACAGTGTCCTGATGTCCAGGCATAGCTCAGACCACTGTGAAGGAGGAGATCAGTCTTTGGCCACCATTTTGGCATGGAGAAGTGCAGATGTTGCACTGTGTGACGTGGTCCAAAGTAGTCTCAGGCATGGGTTGATAGTTGGACTAGATGATCTTAATGGTCTTTCCACTAACCTTAATGATTTTATTATTTTATGATAACAAAACAGAGAGAGACTTCTGCTTGCTACCACAGAGGCATGGATCTTGGGTTCAGTGGTAATGTAGGTTAACATCAAATATGTAACCTTCTGTGGGGTGTGGAAGACCTGCCCCAAGGTAAACATGGAAAATTGGACCAGAGGAGCTTTCAGGAGAAGTTCAGACCTCAACTTTTGCTGAGAGGTGCTTTTTCTATCCCAAATTCAGCACAGGAGATGGCTTTATTTCAAGCGCCAGGACAGCAACAACCTGGCATCCCTCACAAATGACATCGATGCAGCCTCTGTCTCCCTCTAAAACAGCATTTCACCATTCCTGAGGAAACGCTGTAGACTCTTTGCCAACCTTGTCAGGGAAGTTTGCAGGGCTGCACACAGTGAAGAAAAAGTCATTAATTCAGAAAACAAAAGAAGGAGTAATTTAATTTGCTCAGACTTGTTTCACTGATGGAGTCATTAAAACACTTTCTCCCTTATGCACAAACCCATCATTCTCTGCTGGAGGAGACTGTTTCACAAGGGCTGAAAGATGTGTCAGAGATCCATCAGAAGAAAGTGCCTGGGGCAGGGACAGGTTATGTGGTTTTGTTTTGGTTTGTTTTTTCTTTTCCTTTCTCTTTTTTCGACACAGTAATTTTGTGTCATCTCCGAAGATTTCTATCATGTACATCTGTTTTTCTCCACTTACACTCTCTCTTTTCCTCCTTTTGTCTTGCTGTTCCTACCCCGTATAGGTAGGTGTTAGCACTGTGGGCCTTGCTGTTACTTTACTCATACAGTTTGATATTCACTTCGGTAATTATTGAAGCAAGACCAGGAAACTAATACATATCAAGGATTTAGTGGGGAGCTAGGGGAGAGAGAATGAGGAAGAAAAAGGAAAAAAACAGTGGAAAAGGGACAGTGAGGTTTAGAGGAGAATGGGAAACTGTGTTCTGACATTCAACTGTTTTCAAAATTTCAAAAAAACAATTGTGCCAAGTATGCGGAAAGCTTTGATGGAAGAGACCAACTACAGATCAGCCACTTTTGCCCTGCTTTAAAAATACTAAAGTTCTTTGCACACAGTGACACAGCCTTTAACCAGGGCAGCAGTGCTTAGAATAGGATGTGGAAGAAGTTGGTTCATGTGAATGGCTGCATAGTTCCCTGACTGCTGCAAACTAATTTGTTAGGGACATAGTCTGTGATGAGGGTAGTAAATGTGGGAAGGAATTGGAGCAGAAAGGCGACTTTGCCCAGCCTCACTTCTGTCTCACCCATGGTTCTTCACAATTCACTACCAACCTGTCCCCTGGGAATGATGGCATTTTATTTCCCACAGTTTCAGGGCTCTTTCAGTTCTGACTCTGAATTTGCCTTCTCCCCAGCCAGAGGAACTGACCAACATCTTGGAGATCAGCAACGTTGTCTTTACAAGCATGTTTGCCCTGGAGATGATCCTGAAACTTGCTGCCTTTGGCCTCTTTGATTACCTTCGCAACCCCTACAATATCTTTGACAGTATCATCGTCATCATCAGGTGATAAGGGTCTTGGGTATCAACTGAAATACATATAGTAGAGAGCACCACAAAGTTTGCATGTTTTCATGTGCCTTTTCAAAAAAAAAGTTAACAGCTTTAACAGAAAAAAAAGGGGATGAGCTGATACATAAGGCAAAGGATTAAGAGACTGTATTCCCAATAATTTTGACAATCCTGAGCACTTCTGTCCTTCACTCTTATGTTGGATGGAAGCCATCATGATTGTCTTGCAAGTCCACAACAAATATTAGTTGCAAAATATTTTTCAGACTACACAAATGAAGGATATTACAGAAGTTTAATGTGCAGTGGAAGGACCTGTCTTGCTGGGTCTTAGTTCTGAAATCCTTCCCTCATTCCTGCTTCAAGAAAGTAGAAATTCTGCTTTCTACACATAAGTGCAAACCTGTAGTATATGTTTCTAATTATATGTTGTTCAAACTAATTTTCCCTCTGACCTGTATACACGTGCTGCCAGTGCCGAGCTGATAACTTGGATAAGAATTGTTATTCTCTCTCTGCTGTTTGTTCACTTCTTCTTCATTTTGTTCCTCTTGCTCCCTGGGCCTCTCTTGGCCGTAGCATCTGGGAGATCATTGGTCAGTCGGATGGGGGCCTCTCGGTGCTGAGGACATTCCGTCTCCTGCGTGTGCTGAAGTTGGTACGTTTCATGCCTGCATTGCGCCGCCAGCTCGTGGTGCTGATGAAGACTATGGACAACGTAGCCACCTTCTGCATGCTTCTCATGCTTTTCATCTTCATTTTCAGGTGAGGAGGCAGTTGCCTTGCAGTGTTTTGAGGAGGCACTGCATAGTTCATAATGCTGCGAACATCAGTGCGTGAGCACGTGGCTCATCTTGTCTATGGCTCTAGGCTTGAGGAACAGGTTGAGGCTCTTGCTCTCCTAAATTGGTTTCAGTAGCTGAAGACCTGTTATGGTGGGGTGGAGAAATGTTGTCACCAAATGTGTGTGCTGAACATAATGCCCCATTGCTGGACAGGTGATGTCGCTTGGCAAGCAGTATTATCTGCTGGAAGAGCTCAGCTTGGAAGCTGATTGGCAGAAGGGTCACAGGAAGCACCCAAGGAAATCTGTCAGTGGACTTTGTGGATGCACTAGTAGGGAGATGAAGACAAATGAGAGCAAATGAGAATGATGGAGAAAGCAGGTCTGAAGGCATTAAGTGGGCTCTGAGGCGATGCAGATGAGAAGTGAGGTTTTGTGATAAGCTATAGGGTTGCAACACATAGCTCTTTCTTTATGGATAAGTCCCAGTGGTCTGTCTGTGTTGTTCTAGCACCTGTGTGCTACGTAGCAAAGAAAGGCCTATAAGAAAGAACGAGATAGACTCTTTAGCAAGGTCTGTTGGGATAGGACAAGGGGAATTGCTTTCAAACTAAAAGATGGGAGATTTAGATTGGATATGAGGAAAAAGTTTTTTTTTATAATGTTGGTGAAGCACTGGAACATGTTGCCTAGAGAGGTGGTGGATGCCCCATCCCTGGAGTCATCCAAGGTCAGGTTGGAGGGGCTCTGAGCAACCTGATCAGCTGTCAGTGTCCCTGTTCATTGCAGGGGATTTGGGCTAGATGGCCTTTAAGGGTCTCTTTCATCTCAAATAATTCTGTGATGATTAATTGCCATGGAGTGTCATTCTGACAAGCTTATTGTGATGGCAGAGATATTTAAATTTGGCACCAATTCCTATTCTTGTCCCAACAGTATCTTGGGAATGCACATTTTTGGTTGCAAGTTCAGCCTGAGGACGGATACAGGTGATACAGTTCCTGATCGGAAAAATTTTGACTCCCTTCTGTGGGCCATTGTTACTGTCTTCCAGGTGAGCTCTCTTTGCTCTTCATGGGTGGAAAAAGCAATCACCAGGATCATGAGTTTTTTTTCTCATTGTGGATTATTCATTAATTTCTGATGGCACAGAAGGCTTCAGTATGTGATGTCAAAGGAAGAGCAATTGTATATTGTAACTTGGTGACTGGTATCTCTCAGACAGAGGGGCTCCTCCCTTCCTAATATGAAGTTTGCAAAGGTCACTTCTGTTGTGGCAACACCTGTGTTTAACACTGTCACCCCATAACATGGCTGCCCTCATATTTGTTCTTGTTTCTTTTTCCTCAGCTAGCATTACTGGGGCAGTATCAGCATACTGGACAATAGCAATGGGCAGTAGCTGTGTGATTATGCGGAAGTTAAAAGGCCTAACGTGTTCTAAAGTATATGCTTCCAGTGTCCTTTTTGGGAATCCTCTTAGTGTTCTTCCTTCATGTTTACATAATTTCTGCTTTTGGTTGCAGATATTAACCCAGGAGGACTGGAATGTTGTACTCTATAATGGCATGGCCTCCACATCACCATGGGCATCCCTTTACTTTGTGGCTCTTATGACATTTGGCAATTATGTGCTCTTCAATCTGCTGGTGGCCATCCTCGTGGAGGGGTTCCAGGCTGAGGTAAGTCATCAACAATTCTACTCCCATGGAGAGGAGGAAGAGAGGTGCTTAAAAGGGACCTCTGAGACACTTGGCAGGTACTGGAGTGAAGGACTCCCAAAGTATCACAACTCTGTTGTTCTCCTTCTGAAGTTCAGGGTGAGCTTCTTTAAAAAAACAGATGACAGTATTAATCCTTGCAGTGAAAGAGACAAACCCTCCAGAAGGGAATTCACAATTTCCATCCCATGCTACACCAGCTAAGGTGAGTCCTTTCCATCTCCTGAAGCAAGAATGCAGTATCTCAGCCATCACAGGTCATGCTGGACTCCCCGATGGTCATGGTAATGCATGGCTGCCAAGGAACATTGGCAACAATGAAATACAAGAAAAAGTGGCCTTTTCTGTTTGAGTTCCTACCTTCTTGATTTGTATGTTACAGGGTGATGCCAACCGATCATACTCAGAGGAAGATCAGAGTTCGTCAAATATGGAGGAGTTAGATCAGTTCCAAGAGATCCAGGAAGGCTCAGGTATGATAGCTCAAACTGTCTCATTTGCTCACATCTCATTGCTGCTTAGTGGGAAGTCTGAAAGCAGATTTGGCAGAAAATTGGCTCCCATCTCCAAGGCAGAACTTACTTTCGTTTTGAACTTAATGTTTGTGGTGTTACATGTGGAAATTTTGGAGCTGAACTGGCATCCTGAGAAAAGTGACAGCTAAAGTGAGCAGTTTTTGAATGCCTAAAAAACAGCAAAGAGGAGTGAGAAGATGGCACTCCTGCTCAGCTTTGGAGGCACCGTTTCAGGAACACCGTGTCCAAATCTGAAGGCCCCATTTGGAGAAGGGATACCAACACATTAAAAAGGACTCAGGCAAATCTGGAGCCCTGCCTCATAGTGAGAGGCTAATGAAGCTTAGAGAAACTGGAGAAGTAACTTGATCACACTCTGTAAATGCCGGCCATAAGGAGAGATTTTTGATGGTAGATGGCTCTTTAATTGAGCAGAAAAAAAGCATAATGAGATTGTAAAGGTTGGAAGCTGAAGCTAGACAAACTCAGACTGCAAAAAGCCACATATTTTTAAGGAAGGATAATTAAATGTTGGAACAGTCTGCCCACTGACTGCCGGGTAAGGTTTCCACCCCTTGAAGACTGCAGGTCTTTCTGCAAAAGGCATTATACTTCAGGCAGGACTGGGTGGCAGGGAGCAGCAAGAGTATGAATAGTGAGTCGGGAGCTGGGGGAAGCATTCAAGGCAGGACAGGGACCACACCAACAAAGGCATAAGACTTGCACACGTGAGCAGGGCAGGTTGGCTGATGGTATCCGGGTTCTAATAGCGGTTCACAGTCTGCCATGCAAGTCAACAGGGAGCCAATGAGCTCAATCAGCAAGACAAGGTCAGTATCCATAAGGTGTAAGGACAGGCGGAAGCATATTCACAGCATAACCTAGGCACGGACCATAGGCATGGGTCTCAGCTTGAATGTATCTTCTGTGGTGAGGAGCAGAGGCTCCAGGCTTGGCTTGTCACAGCCTATTCTCCCAATTTAGCTGTTTTCATAGCAGTATGATCCTGGGTTGCATAGCTACACTGTGCCAGGACTTATCTTGAGTGTAGGCAGCTAAAATCCTAGAAGGGCAGAAAGAAGAAAGGTTGCAGAGTCTGTTGGTGTACTCGCAACAGTGACACTGAGAGCAGGCAATGCTGTGTGACCTTCATTATGCAATAGGTCAAACAAAAATGATTGCTCCAGTCCCTTCAGGTGTTAAAAGCCAGCATCCCATCCTCTCCATCCATCTTGACAAATGTCAGAGGTTTTTCACAGCAGCAAACACAGCCCTCAAAGGTGCCCTGAATCTTCAAGGTCAATGATCAGTCATTTGAAGAGGCCCAGCGTAGGACAGGCTGTTCTGTTCTGCCTTTCTTCCTGACCAGCACTCTGCTCAACCATCTAGCCTCAAGGAGAGCCACCGCCAGTTTTGGAGAGTGAAGAGAACATTTCAGAGTCTTGCTAGATTGCACTACTTTTGCCATAGCACTCTAAATCAAAAGGAATGAATGCTGACTGATGCTAAACAGTTAACATGCTGTAAGCTGCTAACATGCTTAACAGTTTGGATGTTGAAACAATCACTGGGTGGTGAGGAACCAACCTCCTTCTTTTTCCCTCTTCTTCCATCTTTCCACCCAGATCCCAAGCTTTGTGCAATTTCTGTGACACCAAATGGCCACTTGGACCCATCTTTGCCCTCTTCCAATGCCCCAGTGGCTGCTGGGGGAGTCTCCAACTCCTCACGCAACTCCTTGCAGCCTGACCAGATTCGTGTTGCTGTTGGCTCCCGGAAGAGCAGTGTGATGTCCCTGGGGAGAATGAACTATGATCAGCGATCTTTGGTGAGTGATTGAGTAGGAACATCTGTCATACCCTTCTTTTGAAGTGCAAGGGCCTTTCTCTCATCATATGTTGGATTACTATGAAGAATTGCATTGCTGCTATAGGCTTGTAACACAACCTCATTGCCTGCCCATAGGAAGCCAGTTCACATAATTCATCTGTATTTCCAGATTAGATCAATCAGTCAATCATAGAATGGCTTGGGTTGGAAAAGACCTCAAAGATCATCTAGTTCCAACACCCTTGCCATGGGCAGGGTTGCCAGCCACTAGATTAGATTGCCCAGGACCCCATCCAATCTGGCCTTGAACACCTTCAGGGATGAGGCGTCCAGAAGTTCTCTGGGCAGCCTGTGCCACTGCTTCACCAACCTTGAGTGATCTATTGACCTTATTGACCTATATTTGCAGGTTATTGATCAGCATTCCATTGAGTGTAGGTTACAGCTTTTATATTCTTCTGGTGAAAGATGGGGAACACCATGGGGGACAGAGCTTTTCTTTTAGGGAGACCAGGCTCTGGGCAACCTGATCTAGCTGTGGATGCGTCTAAAGGAGAGCACCAGGAAAGAAGGAAACAGACTCTTTCATAGGGTTTATTGTGATAGGACAAGGCAAAATGGTTTCAAAGTAAAATACAGGAGATTTAGGTCACATATAAAGAAAAAGTCTTTTACAGTGACGGTGGTGAGACAGTGGAACAGGTTGCCCAGAGGCAAGGTGGACGCCCTACCCTTGGAGACTGTCAAGGCTAGGCTAGCCAGGCTGTAGGAAACCTGATCTAGCTGTGGATGTCCCTGTTCATTGCAAGATAGTTGGTCTAGATGACCTTTAAATAGTCCTTCCAACTATAAGGATTCCAGAATTCTGTAATTCTGTCCTCTTGCCCTCTTGCCCCAAGTGAGCTGAGAGCATAGAAAGGTCTAGGTGCTGCCAGAACTTCAGAGTCCCATAATGGATGCATTTTCTGGAAGCTTTTGTTACAATGAATAGAGAAATCTTGGCTTGGAGCTTACTCACATCAGGTCCTGCTGTCCCCCAGTGCTTTTCCAAACACTGGTAGCTGTCCAGTCAACACATCTCAAACCTTGTAACATAAGCTTCTGTGACCTCTACACACTACCACACATGGGTTTTGAAGAAGGTGCATTGATACTAGAAACATTCATGCCCCTGTTATTTCTAAAAAGGGAGAGCTGACAGCCACGTACTACATGATAACTTGGTGATGTTGTTGAACTAGACTGTAACCAATACGCCTGTTTCTCTCATTTTTTCTTTTTATGAAGACTGTGCTCAAAGGTGTTGTGTCAGATTATCCATCTCCCTATACCTTGTGTTATTCTTTACCCTAGGGCTGCATAAAATGCTGCCAATCAGATTTTTGGAAATCTTTATTCTTGTTCTATGCTGAAATAAGTAACAACATCAGGCATCTGGCCTTTGGCTTTATTATTTACCTTCCCTTTAAGTGCCTTGCACACAGATGGTGCTATAAAGTGATCACAGCCAACACCCCTGCTAGCTCATTATTAATTTGTTGTTAGATTTATAGCAATTACAGCTACATTCCCACTATGCATCTTCTTTGAGGGGTAAAAAAGGGTGCACATGGCTTAGGACCCCTGGGGGGATATCTGATGTCTGCCACAAAGCAGTGCCTTCCCTCCCTAATTCTGTGTGGCTGAGTCCCAACCCACTCTCTTACAGTCCAGCTCTCGCAGTTCCCACTATGGTGCCTGGGGCCGCAGCGGGGCCTGGGGGAGCCGTCGTTCCAGCTGGAACAGCCTGGCCCGAGGACACAGCCTGAAGCACAAACCTCCCTCTGCTGAGCACGAGTCCCTCCTGTCCGGGGAGAGGCACAGGACAGGAGACAGGGAGCTGGATGGAGCAGAGAGAGTGTTTCACCACCGCCGGACGCTCTCTCTGGACAACAAAGGCTCCTGTGACCTGCTAGAGTTGGCCTCCATCCCATCTGGCCACAGAGGGACCTGTAGGCCAGGGACAACGTCAGGGGGCAGTGAGCATCAAGACTGCAATGGCAAAATGCCCAGTATTGCGAAAGAGATCTTCCCAAAAATGAACAACCGCAAGGAACGGGGAGAGGATGATGAAGAGATAGACTACGTGAGTACTTGGTGCGGGGAACCTGGGGTTACAATGCAGTGCTGTGGGAAACCCCAACTCAAGTTTCAGTCTCCCTGCCATATGGATGGGAGAGCTTGCAGAAGTGCTGTAAGTACAGGTGGAGGATGTCACTGAATGTAGGTGGGTCCAGGCAGGCCCACACCACATTGTCAGGCTGCCCACAAGGCAGTCATGCAGATAGATGGTGGGAAGAGAGTAGAGATGATGCATAGGCATTTGAGGGCTGTTATTTCAGAGCAGTGCAGCCAGTAGTTGTCACAAGTTAGAAAAGGTCAGGCTTTGTGAAAAGGAAGAGCTTTGCTTTGGAAATAGATGCATAAGAGACAAGGCAAGTGTGTTTTTCTGTGCCAGCCTGGGAGACCACCATACCCAATCTGTGAGCATATCTAAGGGTGGAAGACAGTGTGTATGAAATTAAATCAACTCTGAGTCCAAGTGCCAGCAGAGGACCATTCTGTCCCTGCCTCTCATTCAGCTGAGATATTGAGGAAACATCATACTCATGTAATAGAGCCAGTGACCCTATTATGGGCAACATCCACCTGTAGATAGGAGACCAGCAGTTTTGTTTTTAATGATGCGAGGAGGAAATCTGAAGGTGAGAGGTGAACAGGACCTGGCAAAGAACTACCTACCTCCTCTTTAGTGGCTTGTTGTTCTTTGGGTCCATTCCCTCATACAGGTGCTAAAGAAAGGCAGGGAGCACACGTGGGGAGGAACACCTGATAGTGGTACTTGGGGATCACATGTGAAAGTGAGAGTGCCTCTGTTAGGCAACGAGAAGTCAACCAGTGACACTTGCTTCTCCTGCATCCCTCCAGAGCCTGTGTTTTCGCATCCGGAAGATGATGGAAGTCTATAAGCCAGACTGGTGTGAGTTACGGGAAGACTGGTCCATATATCTCTTCTCTCCACAAAACAGGTTTGTGCAGTTTTTTCCATAAAAGGGTTGAGAAGATTCTGACAGATTTTGTTGCTGTGCCATTTGCTTTCCCTGAGCTGGACGTTAGATTTTAACTTTGAACTCAGCATCCGGGAATGTATTTCTTCTCCCTTGCCTCTCCCTCTACAGTCAAACAACATTTCTCTTCCTTGATTCTGCAGATGAGAGGGAGGATGAGAATCCTAAATGCCTGTTGTGCTTTTCCTTCCCTTTGGAACATCCCGTTTTTCTTTTGTGTAACCAAAAATATTTATAGCAAAGTGAGGCAGGGAACACTTACATTAAACCAAAAAGGAGAAGGAATATATTATTAATGCCTCCATAACACTGATATTTTCTCCCCTGGTACCGGAACAGCCTCTCCATTCCATTTTGCAATCCCACTGCCAACTTATCAGCAATATCACACCCTTTAGGGCAATGTTAGAAATCTTTTTGCTGGAAAAGAAAAAAAACAACAGCAACAACAAGCAAACACACATACTAAAAACAACAACAAAAAACCCACGCATATTTAGATATATATTCTTCCCACTAGAGGGTCTTCCCACCAGGAGAAAATGCCCACATACCCCAGCCAACAGCATTCTCATCAATGTGCCATTACTTCTTGAGGAGTAAGGAATTTTGTTACAGCCCATGGAGGAGAGCTTTTTGCTCCATGTGACACCTGGGCACTGTGTCTTTCAGAGCAGGCAGAGTTGTGTTCTCCATGACAGCCAAATTACCTGCCCCTCCTCAGCTTTCAAGATGTGGCCTCATTGTCCTAGTGTGAATCTGGAAGGGTTTGCTACATCAGAAACTCATTATCAACCACTCAGTTTTCTGTGCTTCTAGCTTCTAACCTCCCTCTGCTCAAGGTACAGGTACCTACTGGAACTCTTTTGCAGGTTTCGCCTCCTCTGCCAAACCATCATTGCTCACAAACTCTTTGACTACGTTGTGTTGGCCTTCATATTCCTGAATTGCATCACCATTGCTCTAGAGAGACCGCAGATTGAACACAGAAGCACGGTGAGCACTGTTCCCTCCCATCTACCTTTTAACACAGTGTCTGACAGAAGTGTATAGGCACTCCTGGTACTATAATGGCCTTTGGACGTAACTTAGCATTAAACATAACTGCAGTTCATCTATTCAAATGTCCATGCATTAGCTATTTACATCATATGTTCTTCCCCTGCAGAGTCTTATAATGTGTCAATCTCCTTTATAATAGGGTAATCCTAGTTTGCTCCTGTTTGGGGAGTGAGGGAGTCCCGTGGTTGAGAGATGGTTTGCCAAAGGGTCAGGGATTGGGAAATAAAAGAAGTACCTTTCACGTGCAGTATGTCATCATGTGTGCTGCTTTTGAGCTATCTTGAAGATGGCTCAGACTAGTGTGTCGAAAAGGAGACTGAGCTAATGAGTGACTTTTTTCGCATCTCTTCCTTAATTGACCCCTCAACTCTGTGGCACTTACACACCCTTCAGCAGTCGGTCAGTGCTCAGCAGCTCTTTGGGAAGGAGTCCCAGGGCAGCGCAGTAAATCAGGACTGAGCAGCACTGGCAAGAGTGAGGCAGCAAGCACCTAGGAACCATTGCATTGCAAATCCTATCCACAAGAGCTGTATGGCATCCTCTGCCAGCTGTGGCACAGGATAGAGCTGAAGCTTGTGAGCCCAAAGCTGTCAGTGCTGACCTTTGCCAGGAACGCTTCTTTTATTCTTCCAACCTTCAGACCTTTCACAGGAAAGAAAAAGATACCAAGTTCGCTACAGGGGCCTCATGGAATAACAAGAAGTCAAGATACATTTAAAGCCATTCTCTCTCTCTCTTTTTTTTTTTTTCCTAGGAGAGAATCTTTCTCACTGTGTCCAACTACATTTTCACAGCAATTTTTGTAGCTGAGATGACACTGAAGGTAAGTTAATGGAAATGAATGGCTCAGAGCCTTTCCCCAGTGTTGGGAATATCATGGCTCATGTTTGCTCAGCACTTTTCCAAAATCTCCATTTTTTTGATGTCCCTTCTCCCTGTTTTGGTAAAGGGGAGTTAAGTCCCCTTGGTTGTGCATGGAGGAGATGTTAAACCTGAGCTTTAAAACCAAAGGGATCTAGGTGTCTGGGAGGAATAGCTAGTCTCCAGCTATGGATTCTGTAATAATATCAAAAGTCCATTCCCTTCCTCCTGAAGCAAGAGAGGGAGTAATTACAATGATATTAATGAATTGCCATTAGCTGAGATAATTATTCAATAGGTGTCACTGCAACAATAGAGAAATCTGGTTAATCCGCTTGTGGTGAGGAAAGAGACTAAATAGTGGGGAAAGTAAGTCTCAAAACTAGAATCATGAGGCAAAACTCCCTAAAATTCATTCCTAAACTACTGGCATGATTTTTAGAGTGTTTTAGGAGCCAGAATATGGGTTTTAGTTCCTGCTTCTAGCTCTTAAAACAAAATTGATCTCTGTACTGGGAGGTATGTGATATTGGAACATTCTCTACAGAGTTCTGTTGCTCAGGAATGCAGAGAAGAGGTGAGAAGACACCATGGCAATCATAGTGAAATGCTACTCCAGAGCTTGGCCTTGCTTTTTCTAGTGTTAGGTGCCACCATTTTGGACATTTTCCTTCATAACCTTCCATCCAAAAGGAAAAGGTGATGAGACTGATTATAGAATTCCGAATGAGTCCTTGCTGCTCCATTAGGAGCAAGGAGGTGATAACCATTCGCCAATCTTCCCCTCTTCTGTGGGTGTCCTCTATCAAGCAACATGGAGGACCAATTTAGACCCTATCCTCTTCCTTCTCTTGCAGGTGGTCTCTCTAGGCCTGTATTTTGGGGATCAAGCTTATCTTCGCAGCAGTTGGAATGTCCTGGATGGCTTCTTGGTCTTCGTGTCTCTCATCGACATTGTGGTCTCAGTGGCTTCTGCTGGCGGTGCCAAAATCCTAGGGGTGCTGCGGGTCCTCCGGCTGCTGCGCACCTTACGGCCACTCCGGTCAGAGTCCCACCATGTTCTGTTCTACTCCTCCTTACTGGTCCCCCCAGGAAGGGTCCTGGATTCAGACCCCACTGTAATGGTCAAAGGGTGGTCTCTGACAATCACAAACCTTGGTCGTATGGCTCTGACCATGGAGATATTTCATCAGACATCCAACCCATGGGATAAAAGAGGATTTGGGGCCCTGGTAGGAGTGTTTCCCCATGACAGGCCACTGCAAAGGGAGAGCAGGGGCCCTCTGCTGCTGAAAATGCTCATCTGTGGCCAAACACTCCTGCTCTGTCTCTCTGTCACCCTTCCCTTTCCTTCCTTTCCAGAGTCATCAGCCGAGCCCCTGGCCTCAAGCTGGTGGTGGAGACACTCATTTCTTCCCTCAAGCCCATAGGAAACATTGTCCTCATCTGCTGCGCTTTCTTCATCATCTTTGGCATCCTGGGTGTACAGGTAGGGTTCCTACTGCCCTCAAACAGCCCTGGCACTCCCATACCATGGGCACCTGTACCCCCAGCTACAGCAGGCACAGGAAACTGAGCAAAGCAGGAGGAGCAGGCAAGCTGGGAAACTTCTGCAGCTACTCAGCCCCATGAGATGTCTCCCTCTGAAGTGTCCCCATGGCCTTTGGCAAGTGCATCCAGCTCTTCAACGAGTGCAAAAATTGTTGAATGTGCAAGACAGGAGTTAATGCTTGTGCATGCATGGCAGGATCGGGTCAGGGTTCGGGTCAGTGTTACAGGGAGAGCCCAGGGCTGGTTCACTGGGCACATCCATGCCACACAGCAAGGGCAAGCAGCTCCATTCCTACTTGCACAAACCCTGTCTCCAGCCAGCTATGTTCTTCCCCCTTGCTATCAACCCTAAGTCCACCCACATTCTCCTTTTATTTTTTTATTTAATTCTCTTTATTTTTGGTGAGAGGAGCGAGGGTGTGGGTGTTACTTCCATCTCGGGGAATGCGCTATACTTAGTCTGCTCTTATGCATCTGTACAAATGCACAATTCAGTACCTTCCATATGGGGAAGGGAGCCCTGGGCAGAGAGATAGAGCAGTGCAGCTTTGCGGAAAAAAATAGTATCTGAGAAGCAGGGGACGTATTTTCTGGTTCTTTACCCACAGATGATTTTCTTTCCCATCAGCTTTCTTGGTAACTGGGAGGCAGGGAGGGGTGATTACTCTTAGTGGCTGAATAGAAGATTATTGGGCTAATGGCTTTAATTGGACCCCCAAAATACTGCCCTAACAGCTGTCAGATAGCAAGGACTTACAGTCACTTCTGCCTGGAGCAATACAGGAAGTTGAAAAGCCAGATGTGAATTTGCAGGATTGGCCCTGTCTCCTTACCAATGCATCAACCAGTGCTGTATAATGCACTGGTGTTTCCCCATACCTCTCCTGGAGGGAACCCTGCAGCCCACCTACTTCCTTGGGAGCTTCTGCACATCCCAGGTGCATGGTGAGCCCTGGAAGGAAAGGGGCTGATGGAGTTGCTCCCCTTCCACAGCTCTTCAAGGGCAAGTTCTACCACTGCCTAGGGGTTGACATCAGGAACATCACCAACCGGTCTGACTGCGTGGCTGCCAACTACAAGTGGGTGCACCACAAGTACAACTTCGACAACCTGGGACAGGTGAGTGTGCCTGCAGCCCACATCTCTGATGGGAACTCAGCTCTCCTCCTATATGTACCTCTCTGAGTGCCTGAAAAGCCTGATCTTAGGGCTAGGAAGCACAGTTATTTGGTATGTGTATCCATGTAGAGCCTGTTGCTAGTGGTTTAGTAACAGGATGATGTGTACAGGTAGTGGGGAAAGAAAAGGGTGGCAGCAGAGAGCTTGATTTTCTTGTTTAGTTCATGCTGTGAAGCAGATGTTCTTCATGACCTCTCCATTCTGGTCGAGCTGGCTTCCTGTCTCCCCCCCTCCCCTCCCCCTCTTCCACACTGAAAGGAGCAGGTTTTGATGTGTGCAGAGATACAGGCAGAAAGAGTATTTCAACACTGTGTGTGTTAGAGCGTAAAAACTTGCTTATTTTTCCCAGTCTGCCAGATGCACCTGCTTCACATCTGCTTTGTTTTTTTATTGCAGGCCCTGATGTCTCTCTTTGTACTGGCTTCCAAGGATGGCTGGGTCAATATTATGTATAATGGACTAGATGCTGTGGCTGTTGACCAGCAGGTATGAATTGCAAAAGACCTTTTTCACTTCCTGCAGCTAGTAGCTAGTAAGGTGAGAGTGTACTCTAATATCCTGCTTTGGACACCTCCCTCTAGCCAGGTTCTCCTTCTAGGGCCCTTCTCAATCCCTCGCTCTTCCCATTGCAAGTGGTCCAGGCTGTGCCAAGTCCATGCAGTGAAGCACAGCTGTGACTGTAATGGCATCAAGTTGGATATCAGGAAAAACTTATTTTCAGAAAGATCAGTGCTGCACTGACACAGGCTGCCCAGGGCTGGTGGTGGAGTCAGGAGTTCCTGGAGGTGTTCCAGAACCGTGTGGATGTGGCACTGAGGGATATGGATTATAGTGACCACAGGCATGAGCTGATGGTTAGACTAGATGATCTTTCCAACCTTAATGATTCTATGACCACGTAGTGAGTGTCTGTAGTAATTCTCACCCCTTTAACCAGTCTGGATCACATGACAGGTCTTTATAACAACAGAGAAAAAATGCCATATGTGTTTCTGAACATGCTGGCTCCCTTCTGGCCCACAGATGGTTGCTTTAATACCCCATAAGAAGAGACTGTTGGGCTGCTGCCTGCTATAACACCATTCCTCCATTGCTAAGTCTATGGCCTTGATAGTGCTGGTATAGGCACCTGCCATTGGCTGCACAGCCATGGGCATGAACCTTGGGTTTGATGCTCTGTTTACCTCTGAAACTCTGCACAAAATGCACTACTGTTCCAAGTTCTAGCTCTTTCCATCCCACTCCTCTCATTTTCATAATCCCACCCCACCTTCTCAGCAGCCAGTCATCATGGTGGTACCCATCCCTATCATTTCCATACCAGCACCCATCTGATCATAGCCTTTCTGTTCTCCTCCAGCCAGTGACCAACAACAACCCCTGGATGCTCCTCTACTTCATCTCCTTCCTCCTCATTGTCAGCTTCTTCGTGCTCAACATGTTTGTGGGGGTAGTGGTGGAGAACTTCCACAAATGCCGACAGCACCAGGAGGCCGAGGAGGCCCGCCGGCGAGAGGAGAAGCGCCTGCGGCGCCTGGAGAAGAAGCGAAGGAGTAAGGCACAGCCTAAGTGTTTGGTTGGTTCGTAGGCCAAGGTTTTCTGAGAAAAACCTTCTCCTCTTCTTTTTCTTTCTTGATGGGCCGGTCTCTAAAATGCATCGCTTGTGGCCGCGCTCTGAGCCTTCCTCCCTGCGTCACTGCCGCCCCGCTATGCACCACACCAGTGGTCTGGGGAAGAGGGGGTGGCTGATGAAGTCTGTTGGGAAGCTGTGGTGCTGGGGAAGCCATGAGGTTTTAGCATCCAGCCCCCGGGGGAATAAGGTGTACCAAAAATATACCTGTGTACATGCTGGTATGCACTGTCAGCACAGGACATACACAGTTCAGTAGACCTCCTGGGCTTCATGAAACCTCATCTAGTGTTAGGGAGAAGACCGAAGCTATCCTTTGTTTAAACCAAAATTTCAAGAAAAGAGAGAGGAAAAAAAAGAGGAAGACACTTGTTTTGTTCCTGGCTCTTTCCATTAGTGTTGCAGTGTCACTTCTTGGGGTCCCTGGCCCTCTAAAGTGAAGTAAGCTTCCTTCCTGGTTTATCTGTCCTCTTCTGTATTATTTTTAAACAAAAATTGTAAAAGCATACTTGCCCCTAGATATCTTCCCTACTACCCCAGACTGATGGTTTTCTTCCATTCACAGCCCATAGGCATGCTTTCCCTTCCTCTGCTCCAGTTTTACCTCTCTCTTGTGACACCCTGGGGCCTCTCCTGGAACCATCTGCTCCCTTTTATCATTTATGATCTTAATTTGTTGAGGCATGAAATGCTGATTTAGCACCATTCCCACAAACATAGACTGACAGATTTTAAGCATTCATTTTCTTTTCTTCCATTTATTTTTCTGCCCCCTTCTACTTTCCTCTTTTTTTCGTGATTCATTTTTCTCCTATGCCCTTTTTTACCTATGCTTTTCTGTCCTTTCTCTCTCCTGCCTTCATTCCCTTGTCTTTAACATTTATCACCACTTTTATGCCTGCTTCCTCCTCAGTGTTTCTTACCCATCTCTCTCTTTCTTCCAATTTCCTCCTAACACTCCCCATCTCCCTCTTTCCACTGAAGAGGCGCAGCGTTTGCCGTACTATGCTACCTACTGCCCCATACGCCTCCTTATCCATTCGGTCTGCACGAGCCACTATTTGGACATCTTCATCACTTTCATCATCTGCCTCAACGTGGTCACCATGTCCTTGGAGCACTACAACCAACCTGTGGTGAGTGAGATCGTGGAGAGTAATTATGCTCTTTTGCTACAGCTCTCTAATGCTCACTGTCTACCAGAAGAGGTAGGATGCTTGTCTCTAAAAATACTGTTCAAGTGTTGTAAGAGTTAATGTTGTAGGCAGAGATATGTGAGAGTTTGGTATATGCTTAGAAAGGCAGCCCCACTTAGATACCTGTAATCACTGAAATGAAGAGAGATTAGATATAAAAGCAAGAGTAGGGTCCCTAGAAAGCTTTGTATAATTAGGTCTCTGTGCTTTACATTATTAATGAGATAAGTGGGTCACCCAAATTTAGTGCCCTGGTGTGTTTTCCTGGACCCTAACAAGAGGTGTGGTGAAAGCAGCAGTGTCCTGGGAGCTTCAGGTTTTGCATCAGATTTCAAGATGAAATTCCAGTTCTCCTGCCATATGATCTGAGATGTGAGGACTGGATTGGCTGGTTGTGTGGTCACCCAGCCACCTCTTTCCTGTAAGAGGAGCTGAAGGGGTAAAGCACTGAAAAGAGCCTCTCTCAGCTTCAGGGGTGTGATTCCCAGCAAAGGACATGGTGAGCTAAAGGAGTTTTTTACTTAGGCTGGAGAAGACCAGGTACCTCTCAGTGTTGTTGGCACAGCTCTAGATGCTTCCGATAAAATAAAAGCATTCTGCTTATATCAAAGATGCTTTTTACCTTTATATGTAGACAAACGCATTCGTTATTATATTTGCCCAATGGCATTTCAGTTTTCTTTTGAGGAGACTTGTAGTTTAGATGACACTTCTAGTACCTGAACAAATCCTGTCTAAGGTAGGTCAGGAACTGAATCTGTCTGTTATCATTCAGATATGTTGCCTAGTTCCTCTGTTTCTTGCCCACCTTTTGTCTTGCTCCTAGTGGTGCCCAGTTTTACTTTGCAGGAACTTTCAGTCCTAATCTGTTTCCACCCTTGTGTCAGACCTTTGCTTGTGTCAGAACAAGTCACTGGACCTTTCTTACTCCTCAGCTCCTTCCCCTGTAACACAGTCAGGCTGTGCTTATAAATCCTGTCCAAATGCTTTGAACCATCCCATTATGAGGTGCCACCAGTGCTGCCCATTGGTCACACCAGTTCCTGGTGGTAGAGAAGCTCACAGCTGAGAGATGACTCGTGTCTGTCCCAGAACAAGGCACGCAGGAGTTTCCCCCCATTAGAGATGGCATTTATACATGACTGAAGCAACAACCTTCCTGCCTCACTCCTTGCCCATAGCTAGGCCAATGCCATTAATGTGGTGGCATCCAGATGACATGGGCTATTGGCTGAAGTGAAGGCTGATGAAACCTCAATGGAATCTCCTTGCAATAGCCGTCTTCCTCCCATTATGCTGACAAGTTTAGAAGAAAGGAGCAGTAACTGATCCCCAGAACAACATGGGGTGGAGGGGCTTGTTGATGATTGCCTTCAGTAGGAGGCCTCCATGTTCAAGTATAGGGAGCATGGAGCATCTCTGGCACTCAAGAGAGACCCCACAGGCCATGAACTTCTTGTTGCTCTTGCCTCAATTTTTCCACCCTTTCTTTCTGCTGGCAGTCCCTGGAGACCGCTCTTAAATACTGTAACTACCTGTTCACCACTGTGTTTGTGTTGGAGGCAGTTCTGAAGCTGGTGGCCTTTGGTCTGCGTCGATTCTTCAAGGACAGGTGAGCAAAGGGTTGTGTAAAACATTTCTGTGGGACAGCTGGGCACTGGGAGGAGACCTCGAGGATGAATCCCTATCTGGAATATAGTTGCAGTCCCAACTATCTCCTAGTTCTGCACAGCAGAGATGCAGTGCCTGGGCAATAATAAGGTTTGTCCAAGAACTGCCTCTTTGTTGGCATCTGCTAGTTAGGCTAGAAAGCAAAGTAGGTGGGCTCAGAAACAGCCAGTTTTTTCCTGCCCTTGAGGCAAACTGGGAACATGCTGAAGCAGAACGTATATAATGAAGCTGATACGAGGTAGTGAGGCCATAAAAAGCTGAGCCCATTAGTCAAAGCACAGCACCATAGTAACACAGCTCCATGCTTTCAGATCAGGCTGGTTTGCCTCTGGCTGCTCAGGCTGTGTGCAAAGTGAATCTCTGTTTGTCTGCAAAAGCCCATACAGGCTGACTCAGAGTGGGGCCTTGGATTTATACGTGAAGAAATGTTTAGGTTAAAGTGAAAACAATTCACTTTATTTGTCAGGGAAGTGGAAAACCTCTGTCTTCCCGTATTCTCTTTGATTTTTCTTCTTAAGGTGGAACCAGCTAGATCTGGCCATTGTGCTGCTGTCTGTCATGGGCATTACACTGGAAGAGATTGAAATCAATGCGGCTCTTCCAATTAACCCCACTATCATCAGGATCATGAGAGTGCTGCGCATCGCCCGTGGTGAGAGAGGCATGGGCAGGAGGCAGGGATGGAGGTGGCCATGGGGTGGGACCCAGAGCAGTGACTCACTGAGCAGTGGCTGTAGAGGCACACATTCCTGCTGTTCTCAGTCCTGGAAGCAGAGAATGGAAAGGATTAATTGTGATACACATAGCTTGGAGAAAGAAAAGTCTTGGCCAGAATGTGTCTGGGTAAAGTAGAAGCCTGATAGGCATGGGTGGCAGAAATAGTATATTTAGGAAGGAGTAGATAGACTGGAGGAGAAGGAACTGGGAATGTAAATTGAAAAGATGTGGGAATGTGGGGACAAGGAGTACATTTTAATTTTTCAAGGGCAAAGGAAATCAAGGCTTCTGTCTTGTTATACTGCCATTAGTAGGGTATGCAAAAGGATGAACCTTCTGAGCTGAGTTTGAGTGACACTTCTCATGTGTTTCTTGTAACAGTTCTGAAGTTGTTGAAGATGGCCACTGGAATGCGAGCACTGCTGGATACAGTCGTTCAAGCCTTACCACAGGTAAAACCCACAACCTTCCCCCAAGACTCACTTTCTGCACTTTTTTTTTCCCAAATGGTCAATTCTCTTGGTTTCTCAAAGGCGATGTCCTTTAGTGGGCAATATTGGTGGTAGGTGGACAGTTGGACTAGATGATCTTAGGGGTCTTTTTCAACCTAGGTGATTCTATGATTCTGGGTTTACTGTGGTGTACACGTACCTGCCTGAAAGCGATGCTCAAGTTTTAGTGTTAAGTCATGGGAATACAGCTTACCTCACGTCCCAGTTTGCCAGTGGGTGAATGAAATAAATCTTGATCTCGAGTAAGGGCAGGATTCTTCCCACCACGTCTAGCTAGTGTCTGTCATTTGTTGCTAGTCCCCAGCTCTTCTCTCCCTTCTCTGTAATAGAGAGCAACTGGCAGCCATTTCGGGAGAAACACAGGTCTCTGTCCTTCTCACCCTTCCCTGCATGTTCCCCCTATTCCCTCCTCTCTCTCACATGCATTCCCATCACTCCTTTTCTTAGCCAGTGCCTCCTCCCGGATCCCTTCACAATTCTGAGCCTCTCATGTATGAGAAGCAGTGACGCGCTCTGTTGTGGCTCACGCAGCCGGCGGTTAAGTGTCTACCACAAGACAGCTAGACAGAAGGATTCCATGAGCTGTGAGCAGCAGCTGTTCCTGAATGAGATGCTGACTTTACATAGGCATCGAGCCTAGTGAGAGGATCCTTTGTGATGGAGAAGTGACCTGGGAGACTGTTCCCTTTCCTTGGGGATCCTTGAGAGAGAATTGTTAAGCAAGCAGTAATGGCACGAAGTTTCCCTACTGATCACACATCAGATATTTCCCTGGCAGGCCTTGAGCAGGCAGTTATCTTACATGATATCAAAATGTACGGGGGTTTGTCAGTTGCTTTATCAGCTAATGTGCCAGTCTCCATGAGTGGCAAGGAGCTGAGAATCAATCTGAAAACAGCATGAGTAGTTACACAAGGAGTTTACTTCTGATGTTAGTGGCAGACAGTGATGTCAATCTGAATTAGAGGAAACCCATAGTATGAAAGCCAGGGGAAATTCTGTGATCCTTCCTGAATTCTGAGCACTGTCTGATTTCCCAATCTTTTTTATTTTACAGTAATAATTTGTATTTTTGTATAATGTTAATGATATAACTCACATCTAGGCTATATAACAGCATCCTTTACTACATCCAGGGTAGTTTGGAACTGAGATACACTGAACAATGTAAAAATTGAAGTGTTCTTGTTGGAGGCAGCTTGGTACCCTGAAGTTTATTAGTTCTGGCTCCGCTGCCCTAGACTGGCTCAGTGCAGTTCCTCTGCAAATTGCTCTTCTCCATTCCAGGAGCCACAACTACTGTTTAGCTCAGGCAAGGATCTGAAATGGAGCAGGTCTCCAGATCCAAAGAAGAATCATAGAACCATTAAGGCTGGAAAGAATCGCAGAATCATAGAATGTTTTGGGTTGGAAGGGACCACTGAGATCATCTAGTCCAACCATCAACTCATCCCTCTGACCACTCTAGACATTGTCACTCATGTGACATCTCCCCTTGTCTTGAATACCTCCAGGGGTGGTGACTTCACCAACCTCCCTGGGTAGCCCATGCCACTGCAGCACCACTCTTTCAGAGAAGAAAAAAAATTCCCAATATCCACCATCTGCAGATGTGGTGCGTTTGCTCTGCAGCCCAGATAAATACACACAGATAGTATGAGCTGGCTGAAGTGTGTTCAGCCCTCAGTAAAAGGACTCTGTGGTATATTTGCAGTTAAATGGTAGGACTGAACTTCTACCCTTAAAATATAGTGAATAAACAGGAGAAGGGGAAATGATAGAATCATTGGAGTTGGAAGGGACCCTTAAAGTTCATCCAGTCCAACTCCCATGGGGCTGTTCATATCCCATGGAAATGTTTGTATCCATGTCACGCAGAAAAGCGACATTGAAGGGTTTTACTCATGATGGCAGAGTGCAGTTGGGACCTCAGTTCAAACCCTGCTCTGAGCCACAAACCACAAGGATATTCTTCCACGCTTTACAGATTCTTGCTTTTCTTCCTCACAGTCACCTCCAGACCCTTTGCTAACCAAGTTGATCTGTCTTTTGGAGGTCATAAATATCTGCCATGACATCCTTCATAAACATATGTCTGAAAGTCTGGCCTCTAGGTATTCCCTGGAAGGTAAAAGTGAATAATCCTACCTGGTATCAAAGCCTATGACCAATCCAGTTCCTATTGACTGGCTTTCGCTTCCTTCTATAATGGCTTGCTTTCACTTAATAAAGTTACATAACCAGTAGATCAAAAATCACTCCATAGTTAAACCTGTGTCAAAATCTGCACACAAAGCAGGGCTAAAATCTCCCACTTTCACTGTTAAAAATTGCATTTTGTCTCCATATTTTACACACTGAGTCTTCAGGGGACAATTGAATTATCTGTAATATTATTCTCCAAGATTTATTGGCTTTGCCAAGAGAAGCAGTTTAAAATAAGCTGTCCTTTCCCTTGTGCTTTTTCCTCATCTCAGCCTTTCTCTTTGTGTTCCTAAAGCACAGACTCACCGGGGATTTTGGCTTGCTAATGGCATATAAGGCATCTCCAGTTGTCCTGTTCCAATTCTCTTCCTTTCTCTGTTATACTGCAACAATTCTTAATATTGAATAGAGCTTTAATTTTGGAGCCCTTTGGAAATTTAGTCCTTAGCTAAATTTTATTAGCCTCCTTTCTTTTAATGCCCTATAGACACAGACACAAAGGTGTGTGCTCAGAGCATTTACTATGGTGTCCAATTTAGTCATCAGAAATAATTCCTTCCACTGCGTGTGCAGGGAGCCAGAATCTGGCAGCCCAGAGGAGTGGGTGTGCTGAATCATTCATTTCTCATCTGAATTTGGATTTCACAGCAGTTGCAATGACTAAATTAGGTTCCTGAAGTAGATGATCCTAATAAAGGCCCAGCGACCACATGCACTCACAAGCATTTAGATCAGATGCTACTCAGGTTTCGAAAAACACTGAATACCAGGTCCTTAATTCTTCACCTCCCTTTGCCCCACCAGTGGTGTGCTAATTGTTACTAGCATTTTCAGCCTGCCACTTTTAAAACTCTTTCTGCTCTCCACATATAATTCATATGCCCCACATGCTGGGATGCAGGAGATTCAGAGGCAGAGCAGTGATTTGGGAAAGTGAGGATATGGGGACAGCGCACACATTGTTGGTGCTACTTTTGTATACCATGGAGCAGCAATCCTCCCATTGTGGAGTTTCTAAAACATCAAATGCTGAAAGCCCAGAAATCAGGCTTTGCCCCATTTTTCACAGGATGCATAAGAAGCTCTGCTTCCTCTCTTCACTCTTTTGTAGTCTCTTCTCCTTCTCTCCTCTCCACACAATTTAAAAGAGGCTCTTTATCCATCTTCTTTCTCATCTCCCTCCCCAGGCCCTGCTCAGCCCTCCATATATGGAGGGTTGTATCTGTGTCCCCATCTCTCTGGAGCTCTACTCCAAGCATAACTTTGGGGAATTTAGGCAGCTTGGTGGGGCATGTAGCACTGCAGCTTGTCTGTGTGCTGTAATCCATAGTTTGACTCTCACTTAGTCAAAATGGGTTCATTTCTCTGAGCTCCTGCTCCAATATGCCTGCATTCACCTGACCAGCAATTGTACACTTTAGTCAGTACTGGCTAGAAACAGCATCCTTTGAATGTGCTGGTGGCTCTTGTTCCATGGCTGGCGTAGTCGCTGGTGATGTCCAAGGTTACTGAGCAATTGTTTTGTTGCATTTGTACCCTAGGAATTTGTTGCTCTACTCTCCTAGCTTTGGAAGACAGAAACTAGTGTGCATGCGATTCACACTTGCCTGTTCAGATGAGGTAGGCTGACTATGCTGTTTGCTTTCAGGTGGGGAACCTTGGACTGCTTTTCATGCTCCTCTTTTTCATCTATGCTGCTCTAGGAGTGGAGCTCTTTGGAAAACTGGGTAAGTCTCAAGCAGCCTGTGCTCTGGTGTGAGCTGCAGATCTGCTGGGAGTTTTTTCAAGCTCAGTACTTGTTCAACAAAGGGACTGAATTATTCATTGTCCTTCATTCTCCTTTTTGCGAAATTGATATAAGCAGAATTTCTTTCTAAAATGTGATTGTTCTAACAGCTTAAAAGAACAGAAGTAGTTTCTAGTATTTCTTTCATTCTTAAACCTTCAGTTTTTCTTCACTGCATTCTTTGGTAATGCTCTAAGGGTACAAAAAGAAGTCAGGGAAAGCTTACTCATGTCTCTTGCTGTGGAATATTGATCATGGAGAAAGGCAACACAGTGATGTGTTGGGAAGGTCACTCAGAGCAACTGAGTTACACCACCAGTAGTGATTTTTTGCACTGCTGGACAGCAGTCAAATGTTGTTGGGCAACAGCCCACTGTTTGGTATGGCGCTGAGGCCTTTAGCTTAGGCCTCCAGGTTGTGAGGAGCCTGAAGTCCCCTTCCCCAGCTCCTGCTGTTGATCTCAGAGCATGTGGTGTATCCCCCATTGATAGCTGTGATCCCTGTTCTTACAGTATGCAACGATGAGAACCCCTGTGAAGGCATGAGCCGTCATGCTACCTTTGAGAACTTTGGGATGGCTTTCCTTACACTCTTCCAGGTGTCCACGGGAGACAATTGGAATGGAATCATGAAGGTAACTAGGCCTTAGGGGGGCGTGTGAGAAATTCTGACCAGAGCTCAGATCAGCAGTGTTCATTGCCTTGGTTGGAAAGGGAGAGGAGCACAGGAACTGAGTTGCTAGATAGAAGGAAAGTTCTTTGCAAATATATGGTACTTTTGAGTGTGATGTCAGAGGGCAGAACTGCATAGCATCAGTTCACACACCTGGGCCACAGTGGCAGAAAAATGCAATGGTCTGAAGGACTTAATGCTGTAGACCTTTGGGCGTACTTGCTCTGAAGCAGAGAGCATAAATTGAATCCCATGATCAGATAACGTCCTTGATTCTATGAGGACTTCATGTTTCTAGAGGCTGTGGAGTGATAGAACCATTGCTCTGTTCTTTCCAGTGGCATTGGTGTTTTTTGACAGAAAGATCAGCCAAGCTTGCATTCTTACTTTAGTCCTTCCTTCCTTCCATCATTCCCTCTCAAACCCAACTTCCTCTCAAGGATACCTTACGCGACTGCAGCCATGATGACCGGAGCTGCCTCAGCAACCTGCAGTTCATCTCCCCACTGTACTTTGTCAGCTTTGTGCTCACAGCCCAGTTTGTCCTCATCAATGTGGTGGTAGCTGTTCTCATGAAACATCTGGATGACAGCAACAAGGAAGCCCAGGAGGATGCAGAGATGGATGCTGAGATTGAGCTGGAATTTGCGCATGGACTGTGCTCCCGCAAGTCAGGCTCCTCCAAATCAAGGCAGGGAAAAGGAACAGGAACAGGAGGCAGTGGTGGGAGAACAGAGCCTGAAGGACGTATGTGCACGAGATGCTACTCTCCTGCCCAGGTGGGTACACCTTTGAGCTTACCAACCAGACTGCAACAAGCAGCTGTGGGGAGAAGCCAAGGGGCCTAGATGATTGAGGGCTTAGCAGTAGCAGGCAGACTCTTCCACTTCAGGGTGAGAGGTTTGCTTTCAGCAGTAGACTTTTGAGTTGGTAGCATTGTGAGGAGGCAAGTCCTGTAGCGCTGCTCGGCAGCTCATTGGCATCATAATGTAGGATCCAGAGGGTCAGCTGAGGAGGGATGGAGCAGATTAGCTGAAGCTGTGTTAGGAGCAAACTTGAGAGGGGAGCTCAGGAGAAAAGAGAAAGGAAAATGGCAGATGGAGTGAAGCACACCAGCGGAGCTGGAAGGGAGGTGTGAGCAGTGCTGAGCTGCACTGACAGTGAGTGAAGGCAGGCCATCCTTCTTTTTTGCATTGGATTTTGGCACCTTTACACACCCTAAGGAGCAAATGTTCCCCCTGTGACCCTGTGCAAGTACCTGCAGAACAAGGTACTGCTCCAGATGAGTCAGGGTGGAGAATCCAGCCCCAAATTCACAAGGAACTTTGAAACAAAAGCTCAGCATTCTTAAAATGATTTCTCCCATCCTCCCCCCTTTCTTGTCCCCTAGGAGAACTTATGGCTGGACAGTGTCTCTTTAATTATTAAGGACTCCTTCGACGGGGAGTTAATGATCATCGATAACCTATCGGGCTCCGTCTTCCATCATTACTCCTCGCCGGCCATGTGCGAGAAGTGTAACCATGACAAGCAAGAGGTAACCTGCGTACGAGGATGCGTGAGGGGACTCTTTCCCCAAGACCTGCACATCCACATTCACATGCCCGCAGGATATCCAGTGTGTGCTCCTGGCTGTAGTTTGTGTAGGCAGAGGGCTTGGCCTGTGTTTGTCATCTATCATGTACTGCTGAGACTGCCCTTGGTATGAGCCTGCCCTCCTTAGCCATGGGGGATGTTTGAGGTGGTAGAAATCTGAGATGTGCCGTGGTGTAAGTCAGGAGGGACTGACTGAGATGTAGATGAAGACAACATTGTATTCAATTCTGCAAGAAGAATAGAGGTTGGACCTCAAAGTGTAGAAAGAACTGGAAGGTTCATACTCCAGTAATAGCACTTGGAGACAACTCAGTGGAAGATTGCAGTGTGTTGCATCTTCATTTGAAGCATGTGTTTGCTTATTCCCCATTGAGGAGAGTGAGCTGAGCACATGCTTACATGCTTTGTTGAATAGAGTTGCTGTCTGTGAGCCAGGATTGGTTTGTGATTAAAACTGGTTAATGAGTTTGATAAAAAACTAAACAAAAATGAGCCCACTGAGAAAGTTTTAGATCCTCTTTTCTGGTGTAGAACCTGTTAGCTGATAAATGGGTTGCTGCCAAGAGCAGGACCGTAGATACTTTGGAGAACCACTTCATAAGCAATTTGTCTTTTCATGTTATAAAACTTCAGAGCAAAGTAGCCTGGGAGATGTTAGGTGAGAAATATAATTATTTTTTTCTCTGAAATCAATTTGTTATATTTAAATACTATGGTCATGATTAGTCTCATATCAGTAGCTGTTCTCATCTGTGAGTATATCACTACATCAACAGCAGTCTACACCATGTCCTTCCCCATAACTAACTTGATACATTGCTCTTGCTTGTAAGGAAACCAGGAAAGTTGAGAAGAGAGCTCTTATTGGTAGATATCCACATTTGAAGATAACAATATTTCATTTGGCTTTGGACCCCTAGTTCTGATGCTTTACATTTTTTTCAGTCTTTCAGCTATCTACTTATCCCAATAGCTTCTATTTGGAAGTATCAAAATGAGAAAATTGCTGTAGTTTCTTAGTACTGCAACACTTTACCCATGGATACTGCATTAATACTGTCAAATAACTGTTTTCAAGTCATTGTGCTTTCCAGTGCTTTATATAAGTCCTTATATTCAGCAGTTGATGTTCGGCCTTCTCAGAAAAACAAGTCTTCTAAAGGTATTCCAGAATGATCGCCCTCAAATCAAGTCATTTGCAGCTAGTTTGCTGCATTTGAAAACCTTCCAGATAGTCTTCGGTATCCTGCTTGGGAATTAAGGCAACATCAATTTTCTTACCATCCCAGCAAGGAAACTGGATGGCAAAATCTCCAAATGCAACCCACAGCAAAGAGTTTAACAGAATAATCATTACCAAATAATTATTCTTAGTTCAAATTTTCTAATGGTTATTACAATTTTCTAAATTGATATTTCACTGTATCTCAAATGTGGAATTGAAATGAAATTATCTATATCCATAGGAATAACTTCAGTAGTGAAGAGTAGTTATTTTATTTCTCATTATATGAATCAAAGTGAAAGGTCAGGATTTTAAGTCAGGTTGATCGTGATCTTCTCTTTGTATTTCATAGTGTGAAAACCAATGAGGAAATTCCAACAGAAAATCACAGCTAGACTTGAGCCCAGCACTAACACCAGCAATACACATTAATTAATTAGAGGATACTCAGGTGCATCAACATAAACAGAGTTGTGCATTAGTACCAGTTGTACACTGCCAGAATGTACACTGTGCACATGGAATTGTGCTGTTTTTATGTTGTCTTTTTCAGTACATGTGTTTTTTAACAAAACAGGATGTTGGCTGCACACCAAATCACCCTTAGCTTTGCCATTGTGAAAGTGATCACATTATCAGTAGAAAGGGTTTTTTTTCCATTTGATTTGTAGTTTAATCCGAGAAGACGCTGAGCAGAGTGGATGAATACAACACTTAAACATATGCTCAAGTTTTTAATATGTGTTAAGCTTTGTATTGTGTGGAGTACAAAGTGCTCAGTGTCTTTCTGAGTTAAATTGCCGGCATCTTATTTTCAAACCAATTATTTGGATAGTTAAGGATGTTCCTAATCATGGCTCCGTTTAAAAGATAGCTTATACCTGCACTGAGTTATTTTCTAAGGGATATGTGCACGTGGTTCAGTGCCCGTGGTTGGTGTCCCAGGCAATTCATGCTTCTACTGAACATCCCATTAGCCCTGCACAGCCATTTGTTTCACTTTTTTTTTTTCTCTTCATCTTTAGTTAAGAGTATTTTTCAATATTCTCCAGGAATGGAAGCTACAAGAACATAACAGAATATGACTAACCTCTTCTTCTGTCATTTCTGTCCTTTCACTTTTGGGCTGGTTGACAGTTAGATGTGTGTATCGGTGGCTGATGGCATATTCAGCCAGTGAGCAGCAGCAAACAGTGTTCCCACACACACAGTTGATCTGCTCATGACTTTGTTAATTGTGCTTTTTGTGTAGATCCCAAGCTGGCCAGAAATTGTGAGCAAGCGGTTCAGTGAAGAACAGCCAAATTCTGGCTTTTGTTGAAACCCTTTTTTATGGATGGGGAATGGAGTCACAGATGTTGTCACATTTCAAATTCGCATTTCTACAATCTGTAAGGCTGTTTTGCTGTAACAAGCACTTATGCAAGTAATGGATGAGTATGCACCTTAAATGGGACTGGATGAAGATGGCGTTTCTATACACGATTAATTGCTGACTGGTGGCTGTGTACTGTGCTTGACATAACATCCTTGTGGGTTCTCTGGTGTGAGTATGCACCTCAAGCATCAAGCAGTGGTTACTTTGAGCTCTCTACATGGTTGAGTGACACCACGTTCGAGGGTCAGAATAATGTCCCAAATGTGGATGCTGTTTGTGCCCTTTATTTAAATCAGTTTTTCCCTTCTGTTTATTCCAACTGCCTTATCCAAGGATGGAGACTCTTCCAGTCTCTGGCATTGGCACAAGCCATCAAACTCCCAGCTCAAAGGAGTCATGTCTACAAATATTCCACCTGCTCTTACAGCATAGAAGCTGTACCCAGTTCTTGCAAACAGAAACACAGGGAAGGACAAAATTACTGCCCAGGAAGAACTCTCTGACTGAGACAACCTGGAATATAGCTGGTCAGTTAGGTGCTGGTGGTGGGAACTGATGGGACTCCAGAGACCAGCTACAGAAAGTCAAAGAATCACTAAGGCTGGAAAAGACCACTAAAATAATCTAGTCCAGTAAGTTGAGCACAGGATGAATAGAGCGGCTGCTTAGGCTACTAAAAAAGAAGAATTGTAGGACAAGGTCTGGCAGAGGGGAATTGTAAGCTTGAAGGAAAGGTGAGAGAGGGGTGTGTGTGGTATGAGACAGGCCAAATGATGGAGCAAGCTCAGGCACAGGGCTAGAGCAAAGCTGAGTTTCATGGATGAGAAAGATACAGTAGTCAGTCTTGGTTTCAGAAATCAAGAGACCAGTAGTACAGGGTGGGCTGAGGGGTTAAATTAGGGATGGAGAACAGGAGGGAGGGTGATGTTAGCCGAGTAGGTTAGAGATGAAATAGAAAATGCAGGGGAGCTGGAGGGAGGTGGGATTTCAGTGATGAAGGTAAGAGAATACAAAAAGCATGATATTGGCATGGACTGCAAGAGGCATGACTATCCCTGGAATGAAAGCATCTTTGTGTTGAAGCAGGGCTGTCCTTGGCACCTTCAGAGATGGGTCTAATCCTCATCTCTCTATAGAGCAGACTGCCTTGTCACCAACCTGAGGGAGCCTTGGGACAGATTCGGGACTCCCTTCTACAATACTGGCATTAGGGGAGCATGGACTGGAGATGGGCTGCTTGCAGATTCTGTGTTCAATCTTCCTTAGAAAGTGGATTCTTCTGTCCAGCCCAAACCTGGGTTAGGCAGAACCTGATGTATCCAAGGAATATAACATAAAATTCATCTCAGGCTTACAGGCTTTTACTTACCCTTCATAAACAGCGTGACTGCTTGAAATGTGGGCTCTAGACGTCCAATGACAGCTCCTTCCCTTCCTGCAGGTCCAGCTGGCTGAAATGGAAGCATTATCCCTCAATTCAGACAAGTCCTCTTCCATCCTTCTAGGAGATGAGTCAGATAATCGCAGCACCTATCAGCTGAGTCCTAAGGAGACCAAGGTTAGCCTCAGGTGCTCATGGGCATGTTGCACTGTATTTCTGTCCCTGCTCCTCGGACGTGCTCTGTGTTCATCCATATGTCCCTGCTGAGGAATATAAATGTTGGTCACTTTTTAAGAGCTTCTCCATAGAAGAGAAAAAAGGGATGTATGTTTTTGAATGTTCTCTTCATCACTATTAATAACTGCCTCTGAATGACCTTAAATTTAAAGGATTTGAGTGTGAAATATGAGCATGTTTTAGCTAATTCCTAGGAACCTTCAGAGACAGCCCTTTCCTGATAAGTCTGCTCTGTGATTTGCCATTAAATTTCACCAGGTTTTGTCTGTATTTTTTTTTTTTTTTCCAGGACGGCCAGGACAGCCCTGACTCCACTGAGGCAGGAGATCTAGGGGAATGCTTGCTTCCAATATCCAGCACAGATGGCTCCACAAACCCAGACAGTTACCTGTGTGAAATAGAGAAAACTCCTTTCAACTCAGTCCAGTCTTGGCTAAAGCATGAAGGTACCAAAGGTGAGAACAGCTCTCATCATTCCCCAGGTTTGTGTGGATTGGTTCAGCTTATCTGCCTTCCTCCTGCAAGGAATAGAGGTAATGTGAGGCAGGGTTACACTAACAAAGAATTCACTTTCAGTTCACCAGTCCTCAGGAGCGAAGATCATTTCCTTCTTCAGCTGCTAGATCTTATACACACTCTTTCAGACTTGCCAGTGTGAAGCATCATGAAAGAGCTGCTTCCTATTTGCAGTAGTGCACCTGCCTGTGGTCAGAGCAGAGTGTCAAAAAGACGAAGGGACACAGGTTTCAGTGACGTGCCAGCTGGGTAACCTGTGTTGATTCTGCAGGGTAAATTATTGCTATCCCATGAGACCAAGCTCCTTGGATAAAGCCAAAGGGAACATATAAGACATCTGCCCTTTGTGGAAGTCCCACTGTTCTACTCCTGAGCACAGGTTTCCTAAGCCACTAGTTTATTTATTTCCCTTCATCCCCTGCTTTGCAGGATATGGAATGAAAGCCCTCTGGCAATGATATCTGGTTGAATCAAAGCCTTATGGCTCAGCTTTTCTTTCCAAGAGCAGCAACAAGAGAGGCAAGCTGGGCTGTTGCTTTACAGCTCTGAGCTGTGTTAGATCTTTAGGATCTGGGGCAGGTTCTTGCTGTTGTGCAGAAAGTGTGATTCATTGCGTGAACTCTAGACTGAGGCTTCTTGGCCAGGAGTGTGTGTTGTCACATTCTGTCTATACACTGGACTTGCAGGACCCTTGGTGTAACAGCAGCAAAGGCACCAAATCAATTTGGAGGACTCCTGAACTTTTTTTCCTGTTTGTGTTCTCTTCCCCATTTATTTTGGTGTTTTCTCAGTCCCTTCCAGCCCCTTTTCTCCAGGTGCATCCTGCCCTCTGTTACCTGTACCAGCAGAATTTTTCCATCCAGCCATCTCTGCTGCCCAGACAGGGCCTGAGAAAGTCTCGTGTGCACATAACCTTCCTAAGATCTCTCTGCAAGGCTCATGGGCATCACTGAGATCTCCAAGCGTGAACTGTTCACTTCTTCACCAGGTGAGGAACACTACCTGCTTCTGCTTGGAAACCTTGATTTCCACATCACATGCAAAAATAGAGGCCTGAATAGGGAGGAAGGCAGACAAAGAAGAGAGGCCAGCTGCGGTCAGGGGCTGGGTGACTCTGATCTGACTTGGAGGAGCACAGGGATCCACAGTGTGCAGGAGGGCTGGGGAGGAGATAATTTTGTACGGCAAAGAGGGGTTGTATAGCTCTATCCCCTGAAATTACATGCTCTTCTGCTTTGGATCAAAAAGCAGTCTGACAGCTGCAGCTAGCATCATGTAAATATGGAATGATATCACGTTTTAGCTCGCCCCTGGGCCCCATACACCAAGTGCACTACAGCCACCTGCATGCACAGCAGCCAGTGTGTGAGCCAGGGAGATGGCAGCCACACAACCACCTCGTTTGCTCCTGGTGCTGTGGCTCTGGATCACATCCACACTCTGTCTCTGAGCTGTGTTTTCCCCTCACCACTTAGCTCTTGCACCTCAGAAAGACACTGTCTCTCTCTCTGAAAAGGCATCTATTTCTCATTGAGAAGAAAAATAAAAGCACTGAGGGATGACCAAGTGTCTCTGAATTGCAGAGGAGACAGAGACTGGAGTCCATCGGTGATCCCTCTTATTGTTCTTGGAAGTCACCCCACAAACACCCAGGGACACTCTATTCCAGACAAGCTATAAAATAAAATCATATGTTATCCAGTTCTGTGTGATAGACACTGTTAGCACAATACAAACGTGTGTGAATTCACCAGGGATAAATTTAGCCTTGAGCTGAGGCCATTGATTTGTTGTGGTGTTGAAACTTCTCATATAAGTTTAGAAATGAAGAGAAAGATCTCTGGAGATTCCATGGCATTGAAGGAAAAGTGCTGAGCCATTGTAAAGGAGAAACTGGTAAACTTCTCATTATGTGAGACAGATTGTATAGAATAGCTATGGTTCAGGAAATCAGATGACACGGTGCAGTCAATATGCTGGGGAGAAGGAATGCCATCCACAGGGACCTGCACAGGCTTGAGAGTGGGCCCATGCAAACCTCGTGATGCAGATCACTTTTCTAAGAACAAATGAAGTGTGGGTTAAGTAACTAAGTACTGTCATAAGGACATTGGGGTAATTTTCCCTTCATCCTGAAAGGATATTTGAGTTTTCTCCCCTAAATACAGCCACTGCTGCTTGTGCTAATCAGAAGAATCTCTTTTGTCTCCCAAAATATTGCTAATTTTTTTAATGAGAGGAGGCTTCCTGAGGTTTCCACAGAAGCCTATCTGCTTTCTAGCCAGCCGATGATTTTGATGTGCCTGCAGCCTGTCCATGTGGCAGGTTCACATGGACACCAAAGTGGTCCCACTGCCTCCTCGGCTGAAAGCAGAGTTCACAGACCCAGCATCCCTTCCCTCTGGTGGAGCATTTCAGGGGAGAGGAGAAGGTTCATTCTGGAGCAGAATGAGAGGATAATAGACATGGAACAGGTGGTCATGGCATTGAGTTTGCAGAAGTTTGACAGGCATCGACAGGCATGAAAAATGCTCTCAGCCATAGGGTCTGATTTTTTTGGTGTTCCTATATGGAGCCCGGAGTTGGAATTAGTGATCCTTAGGAGTCCTTTCCAACTCGGGATATTTCATGATTCTGTGATTCTATGGAATCAAAGCTCAAAATATAGAAACTTTCCTTCCTCCAGAAGAGAACATCCTTGGCATGCTGCTTTGGAGCAGGTTTCAGTTGGATTACAGTTGCCATTCCCACCAGAGGAGAGTGAAAAAAGAACTGGAGTTTATTTTCATACGTCAAATCATTTAAAAAAAATAAATTGTCTTGCTACTCTTCCCATCTGAACATGGTGTGTTTTCATCCCCCAGGCTCCTGAGAGCGACACATCACTGGACAGTCGGAGCAGCAGCTCGGCGGGCAGCCTGCAAACCACACTGGAGGACAGCCTCAACCTCAGTGATTCTCCCCAGTGTACCCTGGACCTCCCAGTGGCCCTGTGCCCCATGCCGGCTGCTGGCGACCAAAGACCCCTGGCAGCCCCCCTGTCCCCCACCTCCCGTCGCCGCAGCCTACGGGGCCGGGGGCTCTTCACCCTGCGCAGCATCCGTCGGCACCAGCGCAGCCACAGCAGTGGTGGGAGCACCAGCCCTGGTTGCACCCACCATGACTCCATGGACCCTTCGGATGAGGAGGGGGCAGGAAGCAGTTTGCGGGGCGGAGGCAACAACAGCGAGCCCTCGGAGACCCTCAGCAGCCTCTCGCTGACCTCCCTTTTCTCGCCTCCGCCGCCGGGGCTGACGCTGGGGAAGAAGTGCAGTAGCACCAGCAGCCTCCACGCCAGCCCTTCGCTCCGCCGCCCCGCTGCCCACCACACCAAGCCCTTCTACACCGTTGATCCCAAGGGCTTCCTCTCCATGCCCTCCTGGGTGACGGACTTCTGCAAGGACACCCCTCCGCCAGTGCAAGGAGCAGAGCCCGACGGCCCCAGCAGACTGGGGACAGGGGAATGCGGCTCCCCGCTGCCGTCCGAGCTGGAGCTGGGCGATGGGGTCAGCAAGAGGAACAGATGAGGGTCTCTGGGGCGTGGGGTGTGCAGAGTCTTTGGCCACCGGCACGGGGAGCACATTTTGGCAGCTGCTCCCCAGCAGCGATTCCAAAGGATTTGGGGGAAAAAGAACCAGGCAAACAAAAAATTATAAATATATATATATACATAAATATATATATATATATAGAATAAATACTCTGGTACCGTACCTCAGAGGCGTGGGAGAATGCAAGCAATACGGGAACAGTCCTGCCCGAGGGCAAGACCTGGACCATCACTGCAGAGACTACAGCAACAAGAAAAGGCCATGGGGCTGGGAGGGATGGGACCTTCCGGCCAGGCAACCACTGCCTGTCAGCCATTTAGTTATATACATATACATATATAGAGAGAGATCAATTTATTTATTTTTTTTACAGAGAGATTATGAATTTCAGAAAGTGCTAAGGAGGACCAAGTGAATGGGGGCTGAAGGAGGTGCTATGCAGAACTAAAGAGGGTGGGAGAGCGGGGTGGAATGGAGGGAAGTGGGGTAAGCAGCAAGGGAAGAGCACCCGGGGCTTGCCTCGTTTGTTTCTGGGAACTTTCTTCTTATTCATGCTTCCATTTCAAACATTAAAAACTGTGGGCCGGGTCTTCAGTTCTAGCGTAAATTGGGCAAACAGTGATTGTGCTCTTCTGTTGGTGCAGAGCAGTGATGCTCTGGCTGGAGGGAGATTCGCTGCTGATTTATAGCAGGTGAAAAACAAACAGCTGTGGAGTACAGGAAACAAACAGAGGTGAAAAGCCTGCTTTGAAGGGAGTGCGAGAGAACAGCAGGCATGTTCATGGGTGGAGGGGATGTGAGCTCCACAGTGTATTTGTGTGGCTGTTTTGTTAGTTTTCTGCTTTTCATTTTGTTCCAGAGGAAAAGAATTGCAAGGGTTACAGTAAAATATGGAGCAGGAGAGGTGGGGGGGGGGGGGGGGGGGCAAAAACAGGAGGGGAAATTGCACTTTTCCCATTCATTTGCAGTAATTGTGATATTTTCTTTTAGAAGCCCAAAGGTGCAAAAACCATCTCTAGAGAAACCTATTATTTTTGTATCTATAGTTATATATATATACATATATAAAGAAGACAAAAACTAGAATTTTAAAAAGGACAAATAAAAGCAAAGAGGGCTTCAACATAAATTGTAGTGGGCCCTCTGGCTGGATACCAACCCTGCCCCAAGTCCCAGCAGGAAGACCCTACGAGAGCATCCTTGGCTCAGTGTTGGCTCTGCTTCTTTTCTAGAATCACCTCCATCCTCTGGCATTTTGCATTGGTGTTGCTGGGACCAGATCCCTGCTCAGCAAACAACCACAGATGTGAGGCAGAGAACACCAGCTGTGTGTATGTGTGTGTGTATGTGGTGTGGCAGATGTGAGGGTGCTCGTGTGTGTTGTGTACTGGCTGGGGGGGAGAGGAAAAAAGAGGGTGCTATGGCTCGCCTTGTCCTACATCACAGGGCACCATCTGTGTGCTGCGGGGTGGCTGTGAAGGCAGACCGACTCCTTGAACCAAGTCCTGCCTCGGGATCCAGGATTCAGTCCAGCAGATGTGATTCTCTCCCACGTGGCTGCAGAAGGATCTCCGGGGCCATGTCCCCTGCTCCCCTTCCAGCAATATGACCGCACACATCTCCTCCTTTGCTGGGGCCAGCCTGCATCTCCCCTGGTTTTATCCCTGCCCAGGTTTGTGGGTAGGTAGGAAAGGGCATCAGAAGCCACCTAGGAGGGGGGCATAAAGACTTCCCATCCCTTTTTTTCCACCAGATAAAGAGGGCTGCTGCCGCAAAGCTCTCCTTGCTGGCATTTGAGGCATTGCAGAGAGTGGGTGGCAACACCACAGACTTTCTGGTTTTATCATTACCTGTCTGATTACTAAGCTGCTGCTGCATCTTATGAACTGGAATCGTAAACAGTAATCACATCGAATGGGACAAACAGCAGAAAGGAAAAAGATAATTGCTACATGGACTTGACTTATTATCTGAAAGGAGAATTTGTTGTCTTACAAATGTGCACACTGACTGCGGGGAGGTCAGACCTGTGGGCAGAGGACAGGAGAGCCCAGGTCCTTCTCCCTGCAGAAAGACTGCTGGTCTAGATTTATTAAAGCAATAATAAGGGTCTTTAAATGCCTTTTTTGCACTCGTCATTCTTTGGATGAATCACCTCTGCCCACTACCCCAGAGGCAGAGAGGAGAGATGAGGCACACAGAATCATAGAATGGCTTAGATTGGAAGGGATCTAAAATATTATTCAGCTCCCTCCCCCCATAATTCATTCCCTGTCCTTGGGAAAGGAAGATGGTCAGTCCCAAAAACTGAACATCAAACTCAGTCTGCATGAGATTTCCAAATCAAATAAATTAAAAAAAAAAATCCTAAAAAAATAAAATCAACCCAAACCCTACACATCAGCGTGTAGATTGTTTCCTATAAGGTGGCCCTAAGTCCAGTTGGACAAGGTCATCTATCTTAGTAGTCTCTCCAACCTTAATGATACTATGATTCCACGATAAGGGGACTTGGAGGTAGGGCTCCATGGTGCTAGAAGCTACCCTGATATACTGTTATGATAGAAATATGGCCTGCACTTGAGATAGTTGGGAGGGAAGAGGTGTCACACCCTAGGAAGAGGTCACCCCATCAGCACTCTTCCCTCATTAAAAGGAATAAAGCCCCACTGAAGATGCAGGTGATGCTGAGACAAATCTCAGCAAGTCTCTGCAGACCTTTGTTCACCTGGTTGCTTTCATCCGCTCAATGTGAGCAAGCAGCAGGAGGGATAGATGGATGGCCAGGCTGAAGGCCTCAGTTCCTCCTCAGAGGAGCTCAAATAATCTGCTTTCTATGCAGAATCCCTCCATTTGTTTTGCAAATGTCCTTGAGTGTCTGCACCGCTGTCGCTCACTGTCCTGTGGACCCTGCTACTATTCCAGGGTGACAGCTCCATGCCTTCGTGTCATAGTGGGAAGGGTACCCATGAGGTGGTGCCCTCATGGAGTGACTTACAGCCCTCAGGATGTTATCTCCATTTGTCTTCCAGTGCCTTCTGGAAGTGACTTGCAAGGGGAAATCTTTGCTTCACTATCGTTTGGGGATCATGGCAGTCCTTCTGCACCCTGTGAGGCCTCCCCTTCACCTCCTGCTGGGGTCATGCCACAGACTGCCTCCCTGCAAGGACTTTCAACCTGAGCCGTATGACTTCAGCAGAAGGCTTCTGGCTTTGGAAGGAGGTTGCCATGGAAACAGAAGTCTAGGTTATCTTTAGAGAATATTTTGTCTCTCTCTTTTAATTATTTACCAACTGCTTGAAGAAGAAGGAGGAAACATCCATCCTTGCTAAGGAGGAGGACACAGGATGATAACACCCAGCAAGAGCCTCATGTATCTGCTGGGGCTTCCTGTGGTGGGGTGGGCTGCAGGCTTTCTCTCCTGCGTTTCCCAGGTCTGCCCAGCTGTCAGCACCAGCAAAAACCTCCATCATTACCTGCCCACATTTCAGACAACATCTGGTGGCAGCCTAGGATCTGCCCAGACTCCCATACTCCCACTTCCCAGCAGGGACCACTTTGCAGCAGCTTCTGTTTGAATGCTTCTTGCTGTCATCAGCCCAAGATCACTCATTTTTGTCCTACTGCCACGCCACCTTCATACCCTTCTCTCTCCTCCATTTGCCACCAAAAGCACCTCCTCACTCTGATGCAAGGTTCCTCTTTATGCTCGCATACTTGTGCTGTGTCCTTCTTCAGCTTCTGCACTGCCAAGCTAAATGCATTTCATTGTTTTTATCTTACCTTGCCATCCAGTTCATCATTTTTGCTAAGCCTTCTATGTATATTTTGCCTTAGAATTACAGAATCATTAAGGTTGGAAAAGACATCTAAGATCATCTAGTCCAACCATCAGCCCATTACCACCATGCTTACTTTTTGGCCACCTGGGAACACTGCTGCCTCATGTTCAGCTGGCTGTCAACTAACACCCCCAGATCCTTTTCCTCTGCTACAGGCTGTAGTGCTGTATGCAGCTGTTGTGATCAAAGTGCAGGACGTAGCACTTGGTCTTGCTGACATTCATATAATGTCACCAGCCCACTGATGTAGCCTGTCTAGGTCTCTCTGTAGGGCCATCCTACTCTCAGATGAACACTTCCCCCCAGCATGGTGTCATCTGCAAACTTACTGAGGGTGCACTCAACCCCCTCATCCAGATCATCAATAAAGATATTAAAGAGGGTGGGCCCCACAACCTACCCCTGGGGAACACCTCTCATGACCTTCTTGCCACATCTTTCGATTCAGCCCAGTGTAGTTCATTGCAGCTGTAAAGCAGCACCCATCTAGAGTGGTTCCCACCTCTTTTTTCACCTAACTTCTCCAACCTGCTCATGAAAAATGCACCAGCGTTCAATATTTTTTCTAAGCCCAGAGATCCTTTCCCAGAGCTGCTACATGAACAAGGTGTACTGCTGGAGTTACTCCTCCTGGCTCCTCCATCTTCATCTGTCTTTCTCATCCCAGCTACCATTAGCTTAAAAACATGAGAAGCACTGATCAACATGCACAGTTACTTTTCATGGAAAGTCAGCAGTGCTGTGCATTTGGTGAGGTATTGGAACAGGCTGCCCAGGGAGGTGGTGGAGTCACTGTCCCTGGAGGTGTTCAAGAAAAGGGCAGATGTCACATTGAATGACATGGCTTAGAATGGTCATGGAGATGGGTTGATTTTTGGACTAGATGATCTTAGAAGTCTTTTCCAACCTTAACAATTCTGTGATTCTATGATTTGACTTCTCTTCCAGTGAGACGTCTGCAAGGCATCATAGCAAGTGTCCTCTACACTCACAGTGAGAGCAAAAGGTGTAGTTGCAGTGGTTTGAAGAAGAGAGTTATTTTTGGCCAGTGTGCTTCCAATTGCCAACAGAAAACTGAAAATTTTATTATGGAGATGTGGTGGTAAAGCAGCTTCACATTGCTTGTTCTCATCACCAGAACTACACAGAGAAGAGGCAGATTAAATCCTGCTGATTTGCTGGTAGGCTGCAGTACAAAACGTGCAGCACACCTTGTAGGAGGTATTCGGTGCTTTG